CACTTTGTGGCAAACACACTCACCAATTTAGTCCTCACAGTCCGAATGTTGTTCCAGAAGCTGATCCGACAATACCGCTTCTCTTGTCTCGCCTGTTTTGCGTATACATAGTTCCCACATGACGTCACTACATACGGGGATTTGCCGACCCGGCGCCATTTGTCTTGGCATTCTGTGGGCAAAACAATAGAAAAAGAAGCTGAAACGTGTTAATGTCGTGATAAAGTTGAAAATGGTCATCTCCTGCTGGGTCAATGGATGTTCAAATCGTGCCGGAGGTTCCGTTAAACTTGGATTTTACAGTATACCCATCATTAGACTTCATGAATGTGAGAAGACTAAGCTTTTGTCAGAACAACCACGGAGGTTATGGCTTGCGAAGATAAACAGGCAAGAAACTCCCTCAAAACACGCAAGAATATGCTCGGAGCACTTTGTGTCAGGTGCGTATCGTATCTTATAATGTGTTGACAGACGTAATTTACTCAGTACTAACTTGTGTATGCTGATAGCTGGTAACTTGAGAGTTTCATTATTTAGCGTTAGATTACTTTATTATGAGGAGGATCGGTGTCGCGTCCGAGGCTCTCGAGGGCAACGTAAATGTATTAAATAGATAATAATAGTTCTATGGTGGGCTAAAACAATGTTCACAAACAGCATTGCTTCTGTAAAAAGATCTGTGTCATAAAATAAACTGCTCTTTACGCCTGGAAAAATCAGTTGCCCACCATTCACCAAAACATACGGTCAAAAACGCGGAAATAAACAATAACAGCAATCCAGAGTGTCCGTGTGGCATTAGCATTAATTAAATTAATTGTTAATATAATTAAAATAATTAAATGGAGCTCCAACTGGTATTAAATCTAAAGTTTTTGAGAAATGTTTGCATTGCTTGTTAATTTTTGCTGCATAATTTGATCAAATATGTAAAACATGTCCGTAGCACGTTAAACTGTGGTGCCATTGTATTAATATACAATTATTTGCTCAAAAGTTGCCCTTTTTTCCAATTTGCGTTTGAATATCTACATTTATTCTCATTCTTCTGTTTAATGGAATGCACAAACACAGCAGCGTGCCATCAAAGATGGCGTCTCCGAGGAGGTCATGTGACATTCATTGGTCTGTGGGAACTATGTATAGAGGGATCCTACGGTCACGTGACTAGCAGCCACGGCAGCCATACTGGAGGACAACCTCGGCGAGTAACAGCCCTGCTAGCTATCTATAACTGGACGTTCAAAACTAGAACTCTCTCGAACTACATGAAAACTGAACAGAGAATTTGAAACTTCTGCAGTTAGTGACCCAAATATATACTCAACCTAAATTCATGAATCAGATCCTCTGAAAATGCATCCTAAAATGTATTCGTTACATCCAGGTTTACCGCGGTCGCATTAAAACAGTGTTTTTTCATGAAAACGTGAACAGAAAATTCTGAAAACCTCTGTGCACGTGTATTAAGAATGTATATGTATAATGTATTCTCCGATTAACATTTAATGTGTTTATTGTTACACCATTGATCTATGTGTGGCTACACTGCAGTGGAAATAATGAGATTACATTCAAATCAATGGAGCTTTCTGCGTCTACTGTGAGGAGCCGTATATTTTATTAATAAATACTAGTACGGGGCACCCTCGAGCACGGCTCAGTCGTTCACATGTCTGCTGGCCTTCGGTAAGTCAGATACCCTGTGAACCGGGTGAGGTCCTGTGTGAGACCAAATATATAACAGCTATGCTAAGCTACAGTCTATGGAGCAACCCCACGTTGCAGTCAGACAGATATGTTTTATCCTTAAACTTCTGTTTGTTTTGGAATAACACTAAATCCGCCATCAAATTGATTTCACTTAGCAGAAATGAAATGATCCATATTCGGGCGCTCTGGGGGCTATTAGTTTTTTGTTGTTGCGTATGGTTGTGCCATTTCTCTCTCGTTTCTTTGAGATGTTGTGAGATTTCATAACACTTTGAAGCAACTTTTGTTAAAGTTAAACTCATCATTCTATCAATGTGCAGAAGCCAGTACTTTTCCCTTGTTTTGTCTATCTGAAGGCCAAGCTACAAGCACACTGTGGAAGCTGCTGATTGGAGGTCTCCATGCCTCTGCTCTGTATAATACACTTGCATTCTCCTGTATCTGTGATCGTGTGCTTTGTTCGTGCTGTCTCTACCATCGACAATAAAACATGTCTTCTGTCGGAATTTATGACACGATCCCAGACTTGGCTCATCTTCTTCAGGTGGTGGAGAATGCGGGCATTGTCTGTAACATCTAGAGAACAGGAGACTACTTTTTTTTTTTACACAAAAAAGTGTTTTTTTTTAAGCCAAAACTGAAAAACCTCAAGAGAAACAATGCATCTGGACCAGCACATGGACAATCTGCACAGCCCCTGATTCCAGTCAGGCTGTGAGCTGCTGAGACATGGACAACACCATCGTCCTCTTTTGCAAGGACATAATTTGGAACAATCTGGATTTCTGAATTTGGACATAATTTGGACTGAATTGAATTGCTGAATCTGGACACTGAAGCTGAAACGTGTGATTGAAAGACACGTCACAGAAGAATTCATGGCTCGACACAACAAATGCAGCCTGAAGAAATCAACACGGAGAAGTGGGAGAGACTGTTTTCAAAGCAATATCTGGAACCACCATCGACTGATGAAGTTTGGTATTTTACTGAAGATTGTTGACAAGTTTTATGAAAGATCTGAACATGTTTTATGAGTTTTCTGAGTTTTTGAAGTATTCCGAGTTCTGAGTTTTTTGAAGTACCGAGTGAAGTATGAGTTTTGAAGTATTGAGTTATGATGTTATGTTGCTGTTTATCGATCCTGATGGTCACACGTGAATGTATGACCAGAGGGGGGAATGTGAGATTTCATAACACTTTGAAGCAACTTTTGTTAAAGTTAAACTCATCATTCTATCAATGTGCAGAAGCCAGTACTTTTCCCTTGTTTTGTCTATCTGAAGGCCAAGCTACAAGCACACTGTGGAAGCTGCTGATTGGAGGTCTCCATGCCTCTGCTCTGTATAATACACTTGCATTCTCCTGTATCTGTGATCGTGTGCTTTGTTCGTGCTGTCTCTACCATCGACAATAAAACATGTCTTCTGTCGGAATTTATGACACGATCCCAGACTTGGCTCATCTTCTTCAATGTCTTCTGTTTTTGAGCCGTGTGAAGTAAGGACGGCTGGCAGTCGGTAACACAACTTATTTTCCCTGTCTCTCCTTTTGCTGCAGCCAAAAACGGCAAAAATGTTGAACATGTTTATGCGGTCCCGGGTGCACGCCACTATCATACAGCGTTTGCTTGTCCTCCAGTATGGCGGATGCCCCGCGAGTTCGAGGCATCGTGACGTCACGTGAGATATCTCTATACACGCAACGCATGATCCGGCGGCGGTCTGAAAGCACCAGGTGGTAGCACCAGCAGCCTGCAGCCGCGGTCCTCCGTCTGGCCCTGGCCTCAGTGCTCCAGCTTGCAGCGGCGTCCTCTGTGACGTGATCCACCGGAGGCTCATCGCGTACAAATCCTGCGTCCTCCGCGCCCTGAGTTTGCGGACACACACCGGGACACACATGCATCGGCAGGGCCATGTTTCTCCACCACACACGGCTGTGCAGGTCCGAGTGAGACTGCGGTAAAGGCCCTGCATTTCGTCGGCAGCGGTAAAGAAAGAGGTCCTCACTTTGAAAGAGGTTGGCTCCTTTATGCTGTTACTTACGGTAAACGTGGAAAGGGAAGCCAGGACGAGAATAAAGCAAAATGCATTTTTTTAAATTATTATTTAAAAAGAACAAAAAGAGTTTTGCGAGTACTTTCACTGCACACTTGTTCACGGTGATGCCCTCTGCCACTCTGTAAAATATCATTCACTTTTACTGTAGAAATTCAGAGAAAATTGGGGTCAAAGTGTGCACAATTGGTCCCAAAAGCACTTTAAAAAAATTATGTTTAAAAAGTTCCCTCACTACTTTCACTGCACACTTCTTCACTGTGATGTCCTCTACCACTGTGTAAAATATCATTTCACTTTTACTGTAGAAATTCAGAGATAATTGGGGTCAAAGTGTGCACAATTGGTCCCAAAAGTACTTTTTAAAAATCATTTTTTTAATCTAAAGTTCCCTGACTTTCACTGCACACTTGTTCACGGTGATTCCCTCTGCCAGTCTGTAAAATATCATTCATATTTGTCAGGGAACTTTTTTAGATAAAAAAAAAAATGAATTTAAAAAAGTGTTTTTTGGACGTGCACATTTTGACCCCAATTATCTCCTGAATTTTTACAGTAAAAGTGAATGATATTTTACACAGTGGTAGAGGGCATCACCGTGAACAAGTGTGCAGTGAAAGTCTTCGCAAAACTCTTTGTTCTTTTAATGTTTTTTTTTCTTTTTTATTGCATTTTGCTTGCTTCTCGTCGCGGCTCCCGTTCCACGTTTACCGTAAGTAACAGCGTAAAGGAGCCAACTGCTTTCAAAGTGCGAACCTCTTTACTGCTGCCGACGAAATGCAGGGCCACTTTACCGCGGTCTAGTACGGAGCCTGGGCAGAGTTCACACAGGGCCTTTCTGGAACTCATAAACCACTCTGTGGAAGTGACTTGTCGTGGCCAATAACACGAGTTCATCCGGAGACACTGTCTTCAATGACGAGAAAGCTTAAAAATTCATCCTCAACAATAATTTTACCGTCAATGGCAGTGTATCTCCTGCTTTTGTCTCACCGGAGACTGTACTCTCATGTATAGCTATCATGGATCTATTATAAGATGGTGTATTAGAAACCATTGAATCTTCTGAATCTCTAAACTGAATACAGGAGAGAGAAAAAGATGACTCGAACATGCATAGATTCCTTTAAATTCAACTTTACTGGGAAATTAGAACTTGACATGACCTATTTGCTGAATGTGAATATCTTTGTGTAGATGGATTCTCGAAGCGGAAAGACAATAGAAATGCCTGCTCTGGGACGACCCTTCACCCTGGGCATGTTGTACGACTGCAGAGAAGACTCCATCGTCCCAGGTAAGAATCCCCTCTTTATGTCATTACAGTCGAGACCAATTTATGTCATTATTTATTTATGCTTTTGTATTTGAATAGGGACAGTCCATATACATGAAACAGTAATGCTAGACGTATGTTTCCATCCGTATTCCCTATAAGCAAGGTGTAACATGGAAGCAATAAGCACAATACAATAAATACACACCAATATAAAATATACATGAAACCAATAGTTGGTTAAAGCTGGAACATTAAAACCACAAAAAAAATCAGATCAATTCCAAACATATTTTTCTCTTATCATTTGGCCTCTGCCCATCTGTATATCAGATGTCTACAGGCTGGTGTTAAAGGAATAGTTCACCGTTTTTACATACTGACATATGTTCTTACCTTACCTTAGACTAGTTAATACGTACCTGTCTGGTCTTAGTCCGTGCGCTCTGTCATGCAAACGGAGCAAAAACGGGAGCACAAACGCAGCCTCCTCTGTATATTTTGTAGCACCAAAAGGTAGCTCCCGCTAGAAGCTACCAAACTCTTCCAAGTGTTCCCTATTAAATGTATATAGTTACGTGACGTGTTACACTGCAAAGTATAGTAACACAGAAATGTAACAGTCGATTTTCTCAGTGGATAAAACGGGTACTATATTGTGAGGCGTAGTAATCTGAGGTGCGCTACGTCCGCGCACTAACTTCTCTCCGGAGACTTCTCTCTCGCTCACTTCCGTCAATAGAAGCAGCGTGACTTGTAGTACACACAGTAGCAGCGAGAGAGAAGTCTCCGGAGATAAGTTAGTGCGCGGACGTAGCGCTCCTAACTTCTCTGCGCACTAACTTCTCTCCGGAGACTTCTCTCTCGCTGCTACTGTGTGTACTACAAGTCACGCTGCTTCTATTGACGGAAGTGAGCGAGAGAGAAGTCTCCGGAGAGAAGTTAGTGCGCGGACGTAGCGCACCTCAGATTACTACGCCTCACAATATAGTACCCGTTTTATCCGCTGAGAAAATCGACTGTTACATTTCTGTGTTACTATACTTTGCAGTGTAACACGTCACGTAACTATATACATTTAATAGGGAACACTTGGAAGAGTTTGGTAGCTTCTAGCGGGAGCTACCTTTTGGTGCTACAAAATATACAGAGGAGGCTGCGGTTGTGCTCCCGTTTTTGCTCCGTTTGCATGACAGAGCGCACGGACTAAGACCAGACAGGTACGTATTAACTAGTCTAAGGTAAGGTAAGAACATATGTCAGTATGTAAAAACGGTGAACTATTCCTTTAAGTCAGTTCTACGTCATGGTGCTACGTCCCTTAGCGGACTTCGCTAGTGGGATATCGCGTGACCCCCAGGTAACAGACGCCAGAGAGATCAAACAAAAAATGCTCCAATCACTAGCGACCCTCCTCCAAGTGAGATCTACCACAGTACGTACTTTGTTCTGAGATGTCTTCCATTGTTCGTTCGAGTTCCCCTTCGCCCTCCGGCGTCGGACGTCGTCGCTGCTCAACGTGTCGGGTCAGGCTCCAGCGCACGGACCAGCATGCCAGCTGCTTCATGTGCCTGGGTTCGGGCCATGCGGCATTGAGCGCTAGCTGCGCCTCGTGTCTCGCTCTCCCCAGGGAGGAGAGTGAACGCAGGCGCGCGTTCTTCGCCGCTGCAGTGCCCCGTCCGGACTCCTCTCAGGACGAGGAGTCTGAGATTGACTGGGCCCCACTCGACCTTCCGCCCGTGCCCGCGGAATGGGGTGACTGCGAGGTTGGAGAGGCTTCGGAGGACGGCTCTCTCCTCACACTGGACGAGGTGGTGTCGAACCCGGAGCCGGACCGCTTTCCGCTGGACCGCTTTCCGCTGGACCGCTTTCCGCTGGACCGCTTTCCGCTGGACCACATGCCCGGTCTCTACTGCTCCGCGGCGACCATCATGGATGCTCCTCTACCACCGCAGCCGGTCCAGACGGTGGAGGACTTCACCTCGGTGGGCACCACCACTCGAGGGAGGAGGAGGAAACAACCCACGTTGTGCCCGCGGATGGACCCGATCCTCCATTACGCAACACGTGAGTGGCCTAAGCCCCTAGCAGCCAAGAGGCCTGCTCTGGGGTACGACATATACTGCAGCGTGCAGGACTGGTCCTGGACCGGTGGTGTCCCGGACATAGAGGACTCAGTCCGCATGGCCCTGCAGCCCTCCGCATCCGTGTGGCCCGGCGCCAGACCTGGATAGGTCGCTCTCCTCTGGCCAGGCGCTCAGTGGAGACCTCCTGTCAGAGGCTAGGACCAGCTCCGCGGCGATCCTGCGCATGTGCCAGGCGTTGACCGTGGATGGTGGCCGCTCCATGGCTGCAGCCCAAGTCGGGGCCAGGCACCTTTGGCTTGGGCTGGCTAACATCAGGGAGGCGGAGAAGAGACAGCTGCTGGACCTGCCCATCTCCCAGACGTCCCTCTTCGGCCCGGATATGCAGGCCCTGGTGGAGAGACTGTAGTCTGCAGCTAAAGACTCGGCTAGGCTAGCCCCGCACCTAGCGCCGAGGCGCGAGGCCCACCAGCAATCACGGAGCCGGGACAGAGGCAGAGAGCGTTCACCCAGGAGGCGCCCTGACCCGTATCCTCGCTCCGTCATCCATCGTCCCCCCTCGACGAGGCCCCCGGGTCCGGACAGACCAACGGGAGGCTCGCGGGAACAACGCACCCACCGCCGGCCTCCCTATGGTAGAGGAGGCCGGGGTGGTAAGAATTCTTTCAATAAAGGCCGACCGGCATTTCATCAGTACTCGTTGTCTGAGTCTCATTTGGGGGTACGTAACATGTCTAATGTGTCTGATTGTGTTACTTCCCGGGCCCATAACGTTGCTCCGCTAGGCCTGCAGCCCCCAGAGCAGGGTGTGCAGTGCGCTACGTGAGCTACGAGCTCCGGCCCTCTGATCCATGCTATGCCCTCCCAGAGAGGGGTCAGGCGGAGGGATCTGGTGAGTAGTGGTGTGTGTGCTTCGGCCGAACACGTGTTAGCCCCTCTAAGCTACCAGGCTAAGCACGGGGTTTCCCACTCCAGGGGCTCGCCCCCCCTCCATGAGGCAAGAGCCAGGGGGGGGCGGAGCAGTCGAGTCACACGGCATGAGCAGGCCCGTACTTGTGACGTCGGGCCTGCAGGACACGTGACCACCCCCGGCGCACACGGTATGACGCAGGGGGCCCCCCTGCCCTTTCGTCCACCCCCCCCCCCCCCCCCCCCCTCCCTGCTAGGAACACCAGGAGAGGGCGGGGCTGTGACGTCTCGTGTTCCAGCTCCCGTTCCGCCCCTCACAGACTTCTACAGCATCTGGAGGGAGCAGGGCTTACTGGCGGATCCGTGGCTAGAGAAGACCTTGCGCAGGGGCTACGCACTGCAATTCCCCCAAAAGCCACCGCCGTTCCGGGGCGTGCGGGCAGCGCGCTCTCAGGTACGGGGATTGCTAGTGGTACTACAAGCGGAGGTCTCCTCTCTGCTAAGTCGAGGCGCAGCAGTAGAGGTAGACCCACAGGACGCCACCAGGGGGTTCTACTCCCCTTACTTCTTAGTGCCAAAGAAGTCAGGAGGGGTGCGTCCCATTCTGGATCTGCGCACTTTGAACGAGTGCATTTCCAAGCGTCAGTTTCGGATGCTGTCCACAAAACAGCTCCTAGAGTGTGTCAGGCAGGGAGATTGGATGTCCTCCATAGACCTGACAGACGCTTACTTTCACGTGCCGATAGTTCCGGAACACAGGAAGTTCCTGCGCTTCGCAGTGGGAGAGAGGAGTTACGAGTACTGCCGTCTCTCCTTCGGCTACGTGCTCGCGCCTCGGACCTTCTCAAAGTGCGTGGAGGTGGCACTGGAGCCGCTCAGACGCGCGGGGGTAAGGATATTAACCTATATAGACGATTGGTTAATACTGGCCTCGTCCAGGGAAGTGGCCGTGAGTCACACGCACTGGGTCCTTTCCCACAACGGCTTTGTGGTGAACAGGGAGAAGAGCAAGCTGCAACCGGCTCAGCGCATGATCTATCTCGGCCTGCAGCTAGACTCTGTGACGTTCTGTGCTGCATTGTCCGAGGACAGACGGTGGAAGATTACCCGTCTAACCAGGGAGGTTCTGGCAGGCCCCAGAGTCCCCGCTCGGCGCCTCAGGTCCCTGCTGGGGATGATGGCGGCGGCTCATGCTGTGGTGCGGCTAGGCCTTCTCCACATGAGGAATTTTCAGAGATGGTTCTCACGCCTCAGGCTTCACCCCTCCCGGGACGGGGGGAGGCTGATCTGGGTTCCCCAAAGGGCAGCATCGGACATCAGGTTCTGGCTCACTCCGGGTCTATTGCGGGACGGAGTGACTCTGGCCTGCGCCGTGTCTCACGTGGAGGTGTTCACGGACGCGTCACTCGAGGGTTGGGGCGGGGTCCTCGGTCAGAGCTCTGTAGGAGGCTGCTGGTCAGACTCAGCCCGCCACATCAACCTTCTGGAGATGGAGGCAGTGCACAGGGTACTGCTGCACTTTGCTCCTCAGCTGCAGGGGAGACACGTGATGGTTCGCTCAGACAACACCACGGTGGTGTCTTATTTGAACAGGCAGGGGGGCACCAGATCCCTCGCCCTCCATCGCATGGCAACGGGAACGCTGCTGTGGGCGGAGCCTCACCTCCTGTCCCTGAGGGCGCGCCACGTCCCGGGTGCCCGGAACGTGGGGGCCGACAAGATGTCCGGGGGGGGGCCACTCCAGGACGAGTGGGGCCTGGCCCCACGGATAGCTGCGGAGGTCTGGCGTAGATTCGGTTGTCCAGTGGTCGACCTTTTCGCCAGTGCAGAGAACGCACAGTGCCCGTCCTGGTTCGCCTTAAGGGCCGCGGACGAACCGCCCTTAGGGGTGGACGCCCTGGCTCACTACCCCTGGCCAGGGGGCCTACTGTATGCGTTTCCGCCAGTTCGTCTCCTGCCGGTCCTGCTGCGGAGGATCGAACAGGAGGGGAGGTCGGTGATCCTGGTGGCTCCAGACAGTCCACATGCCCGATGGTTCCCCTTCCTGAGGGGCAGGGTGGTGATGGAGCCCTGGGCCCTCCCGGACGGGCTCTAGTCCAGGGGGGGGTGTAACTACGTTGATCTCCAAAAATAAAGGACTTCACGCCTCGACTGATGTCCAGCAGCATTTAATTTCATACAGGCATTTGGAACACCGTGAAAACTACAAAGATAAAGGAGGAGAGTAAATTTCCATACAGTAACTTACACAATAAGAATCAGGTCTCAAAATAAAAGACACAATGAAATAAAAAGGTTACCGTGTGCGCCTTAGTAGACCAATCGTAGAATAACACTCTTTCCAAGCTGCAAAAACGTCTCTTTATAGCAGCATACTTTAAAATACTTCTCAACTTATTCTTTGAAAAGCAAACTTAAACGGCAGCAAAAATGATCTGAGTTGTCATGGCAACCAAAGCGTCAGTTATACTCAGCTATAACTTGAGTTGTCATGGTAACCTTAGCGCCAGTTACGGGGGGGGGGGCCTGTTTTCACGCCCAATAATCGGCTTGGAGGCTGAGGGGCGGAACCTCGTAGACCTGGGTCTTCCCCCGGCGGTGGTGGAGACTATTCAGGGGGCGAGGGCGTCGTCCACTGTGAGGGCCTACGCTACAAGATGGAGGCTCTTCAGCGACTGGTGCGGTTCTCGCTCCTGGGATCCCAGGCGTTGCCCGTTGGAGGGAGTCCTGGGATTCCTGCAGGAACTATTTGACAAAGGGAGGGCTGTCGCCACCCTGGCGGTGTTCGCGGCAGCCATTACCTCGGGTCACGACGGTTTCGGGGGGTTCACAGCCTGCTCTCATCCGTTGGTCAAACGTTTTCTGCGGGGGGGCCGCAGGAGGAGGCCCCCACTTCAGAGAACGCCCCCGGTTTGGGACCTCAGGGTGGTCCTTAGGGGTCTGTCGGGCCCGCCTTTTGAACCGGTGGCGGAGGCGAGTCCCGAGTGTGTTGCTTTTAAGACTGCCCTCTTGCTGGCGTTGGCGTCTGCTAAGAGGGCGGGCGACTTGTGTGCGCTCTCCGTCCATGCGTCTTGGCTGTCCTTTGGAGAGGGTGACGGTCTGGTGGAGTTGTGGCCCAATCCGGTTTTTCTCCCTGAGGTCATCACTTCGGCCTTCAGGTCGAGAGTCATCAGGATTAGGGCTTTCCATCCGCCGCCGCATGCCTCCCCCGAGGAGGAGCGGCGGCACCACCTTCTGTGTCCTGTCAGAATGCTTAGGCGTTACCTGGCCTTGACATCTTCATTCAGGTTGGTTGATCAGCTGTTTGTGTGTCTGGGCCCCAAGAACAGGGGCGCCCCGCTGTCGTCTCAGCGGCTGGCGCACTGGGTCGCCACGGCTGTGCGGCAGGCGTATCAGGCTCAGGGTCTGGCCCCCCCGGTGGGCTTCAGGTCGCACTCCACGCGTGGGGTGGTGGTCTCTACGGCCCTCCTCAGGGGGGCTTCTTGGGCGTCGTCCTCTTCTTTCGTCCGGTCTTACCTTTTGGATGTGTCGGACCGGTCGGTGGCCCATTCCGTGCTTAGTGCAGCAGACTGAGTTGAAACCATTATGTTTCCCCTCTTAGGGGGCCGACGGTTGACTTTCCGCCCTGGTTCAGGAGCTCTTGGGAGAGGCGTCCTGCAGGTGCGGTGTATATGTGTGTGCTTTGGTCAGTCAGGTAGTCCACGTCAGGAGCTCTTGGGAGAGGCGTCCTGGGACTACGGGTGGCCTTCGGTCTGTTACTTGGGGGTGTCCTTGGGAGGAGTGGCCCTGTAACACGCTTTGCTTCTTCTGCCCTGAGTCCTCTCACTCCTTTTTTGTTTGATCTCTCTGGCGTCTGTGACCTGGGGGTCACGTGATATCCCACTAGCGAAGTCCGCTAAGGGACTACGCACCTATTCGTAGAACTTAAGTTACATAGGTAACTATTAATTACAGTACTAGTAGTCGACAATGGGCCTCATTCACGAATGGTTCTTAAGAACAAATTTGTGCGCAAATCCTACTTACAAGGATTTTAAGAAAAATGTGGCATTCACGAATATTTCTCCTAACCAGAATTTATCTTGGGTAAGTACAAATCCTACGAGTGCTCAGGAGCACTAAGGCGCGTTCAGACCAAAAGCTTTTGACGCGCGTCAACTGATGCCGGGTTATTTTTGTGTCATTTTGGTGCTTGAAACTCCTGACGCGAGTGATTCGCCTGATGCCGGTGGGAGTAGCATCTCTGTTACCTGTAGTCAATACAACGGTGGATTTTCCAGAGAGCAGCGAGCCTTTATTTGTTATATAAAGCCAAATAACGTTGTCGTGGGGTTTCTACAAATCATGTTCTGGGTTCACCACAGACTTGAGAGGCTGCAGTGTTTTCTGAGTTGTCATTTACTCCAGGAGCTGCGTACGGAGGACTTGGCGGGAAAGTCAAAGGGGAGGAGCAGGAGCGGAAAATGGACCCCCACAGGAGATAAACTTTGCTCAACCTTTCCTTGGGACGTTCGTGCAGCGACCAATCATAGAGCTGCAAAGTGGTCACTGGGACATTGGTGGTCTGAGCGAGCAGACTGAACATACTGTTATCAGCCAAAACAGGAGCTACATCAGGCCTAAACCAGGGTTGACAATGGGGGACTGTGTGCTTGTGAATATATGCGTTGTCATGCTCCCGTGACCTTATGCAACTGCTTCGAGTGTGTTCACACAGAGATGTCCTGACGCGCACCGGAAGTACTGGAAGTAGCCGGCAGGCTCTGATGCTAACAAGGCTATGCTAACGGCTTCTTGTGTACAGATCTTCTCCAGTATGCAGCTTTGCAGGGTGTCTTTGAACAGAGACTTTCCACGGGCTTTATATAACAGTAGTATGTGTTCACGGAGGTGCGTCATACGTTTTTCATATTATTAAACGGAATTTCCGCATCGGCGAACACACTTGAAGCAGTTGCATAAGGTCAGGGGAGCATGACAACGCATATTTTCACAAGCACACAGTCCCCCATTGTCAACCCTAGTTTGAGTTCTGGTGAAGTCCGGTGTGGGTCCTGTTTTGGCTGTTTATGGCTGTTTTTGTGCTTGTGTCAGGACATCTGTGTGAAGACCTCTGCGTCTGAAAACTAGAGACTGCGCGTCTGGTGAGCGGGGCTTCAGCGTTTCAGCGTTGGCGGTCTGAAAGCACCATTACACCATTGACATGGTTGCGTGATCGCCAATCGTGTCACGTTGATTGACGGGCAGACTAGATGGTAGTCAGTAGTAGCACTATGTTTTAAGGCTGTAATACACTTTTCTAACCAACTGCACTCACGATTGCTAAAATGCCATGTCAAACCTGTTTGTTGTAGATCTGGTGTGGGTCCTGTTTTGGCTGTTTACGAGTATGTTCAGTCTGCTTGCTCAGTCCACTGATGTCCCCGTGACCACTTTGCGGCTCTCTGATTGGTTGTCGCACGAACGTCCCAAGGAAAGGATGAGCAGAATCCATCTCCTGTGGCCGTTGATTTTTCGCTCCTGCTCCTCTCCTTTGACTTTCCCGCCAAGTCCGTGTGTGTCTACTGAACAGTCCGTCCGTGCGTGCCAAGAGGTCCGTGCATTGTGACGCTCGAACGCTCGTCACCATAGACTTTGCATTAAAAGCCGACGCAACGCATGATCCGGTCTGAAAGCACCATAATACGTATCCAAGCCACCTTGAAAAGCTACAGATTCTATTAAAGAAATAAATTTTTGAACCTTTCTTCTACAGGTTTAAGCTACTGAAGCTCACTGAGTGCAACAATTTACGCTTGCATTATGTATAATGTAGTATATAAATTAAATACTAGGCTTTCCGGTCTCATCCCAGTGACCCCACTAGAGGGAAATCCTTATTGCAAGGGAAAAAGTGCACGCTGAAGTGCACTAGTATTAGCGTAGCATGCAAGGGCCCTGAGATGGATTGAGCTTGATTGAGGGTTTTTTATGTTGTTGTTGTCCTGTTTCGACTTGTGAATGTTATTGGGACTCCTACAGCCAAGTTGTGCTTCATGGGAGTCCCTTCACAAACCTACATGTCTAAGTGTAAAAGTTGTGGATTTAACTATTGTTTGTGAACAAATAGATACAAATAAATAAACCTGTCTTATAGGTACTAAAACGTCAGTGTCAAATAAGCCCATAAACGTATTACAAATATCAGCTGCATGGCTATATACGTTGCAGGGTTCAAAGAACTGGAAAAAAAGTAGCGGCTCATCATGGTCCAAATATTATGGTATCAACTCCTGTACTTCTCATCACAGCAGTGAAGGTTTTTGTGCCTTATCTTTAAAAAACAAAAAATAATCCATTTACATTTTGCACATTTTTGTATTGTTGCTCACCAGAATCACCAGCTGCTCCATGAACACTCTGATTTTGGGAAGTCTGAAGACTAAATAGATATCTCAAAGAGATTGTGTGAAAGCGGCAATATTCTAATTTATAATTATCTGATCTAATGTGTTTTTTTTGGCAGGGATAACGTTGTGGGACCTTGATCATTTGAGAACCGACACAGCAACACAAGTCAAACCCGACAGTGAGCTTGAAATTGTGGCTTCAGAATCCATCGAAGACAAATCCTCCGCCTTAAACGTGGAAGCAGCTCTTAAGGCGGGCTTCCTCTGTGGTCTGGTGGAAGTGGACGGATCCGCAAAATATCTCAACGACCAGAAAAGCTCAAAGTATCAGGCCCGTGTCACGCTTAAATACAAGGCCACTACAAGGTTTGTGAACATTTCAAATTTGAGAGAAATTATTTTTGTTGTAAATAGTTCTATATTTTAAGAATGAATGGCTTGAGATGATTGCACTTGAAACTAGGGATGTAAATCGGCGACCGTTTAACCGGTGGTTGACCGTCACAGCGTTAACCGGTCAAAGCTGTCGGTTAAAAAAGAGAAAAAGGGGAGAGGGGAGGTCTCTTAATAACGCTATTTTAAGCCCTATTTGCACGGTGTGACGAGCGAGTCTGTATCTAGCTGTGTGCGCCCATGTATTATAAACTCCGGGACGACTCTCACGCCGCACGAGCCACATATGCACACACACGCACACGCACACGCACACGCACACGCGCACACACACACACACACACACTTTCCCCCTCTCCATACGTAACATCCACACGCATCATCTCTCCCCTCTGTTACCGTCAAAGTTGCACACTGGCGCGGGTCAGAACTACATTGGAGCTTACATTTACACACACACACATATACATACACACACACACATACACACACACATACCGGTCTGTCGCGCTCCTCTGTGTCACGGAGCCCAAAGGATTCGCGCAAATACGCGGCTCCAGTCAAACCACATGGAACATGTTTGTGTTTATGGTCCTCGGGATCAGCTCCACACACATCACTTGTATTTAAACTTTTGTGAAGACCTGTGAGACGCGGCTCGTCACTCGCTGCTCTGACCATGTGAACGAGCCGTCGTTTGCTGCTAGAAAGTTTTGGTATTAACCCGCAGCACAGCAGAATGGGAAGATTAAACAAGCAGTTCTCTGTGCGCAAAGGTGCCGGAGCTGTTGCGGGTTTGGGCGCCGCTGTCTCGGCTCTGATCCAGTAGAACGCAGAGCTGCACTTATGAAAAGTACGCGGCTCGAAATGGCTGTTATTTCAAAGAACGTGGACTATTTTAAACTACGCGGTTAACCGGTTTCAACCGGTTAATGAGGCTCGGTGGTCTGTCATGAAAATTCATAGTTTTTTACATCCCTACTTGAAACAGGACAACATAAAAAAAAGAAATAACTTCCTGTGTGTAAATTCAAATTTAAAGTGATTGTCTGGAGTTTGTCAGAAAGAGACAGAGAGATACTTGATTTGAAAAAAACAACGCAAGCTCCCTCCCGCTTCCTTTCTGATTGGTCTACGCCTACATTTCCGTAACACTTTTAAATGTTAATCAGAGAACACATTATACATGTACATTATTAATACACATGCACAGAGGTTTTCAGAATTTGTTAACGTTTTAATGAAAAAAATGTGCGGCAAACCCGGAAGTGCTGTTATCATGAATTGCACATTATAGGACACATCTGCAGAGGATCTGATTATGGATATAGGTTCAGTATATACATAAGTACCTCAGCGCGGATGTTCAGAATTCTTCGTTTAGTTTTCATGTAGTTCCAGAGCCTAATAGAGGCTTGATTCGGAGGCTCCGCGAAAACAAACAACTGAGCTTGCGTGCAGCTGCGAGCGTCAGCGTCGATGATTGACAGCCCTTGGCATGACTCGATTGGTTAACCTCAACGGCACCGTGGATTCTGAACTATAGCTAAGAGAAGGGAAGGCGGGACTTGCCCGTAATATTAGAATTAATAAAATGACTTATTTATTTTATATCAACATTTTAGGCCAAGAGGTCAATTTAACACATTTCCTAAAATGTGTATTTCATTTAGAGTTAGACTATCACTTTATGTGAACTTAGTCACTGGTATTAAAGATATCAATGCATAATTTCAGGGACCAATATGATAAATCAGAATTTGTGTGTTAGTTTATTTTGTACGGATAAAAAGTAAATTGATAACATTTGATAGAAATAACACTTTTTTTATACTGAAATGGTGAAATATTTTTTTTATACTGTTTAACTCAGGATTATCTATTAACTGTATTATCTTGATATGTCTTCTCCAGGTTTGAAGAGCTGACTATGAAACATCTGGGCAGAGGGAACGTAAAGCATCCAGATGTCTTTGACAAAGGCCTCGCCACACACGTAGTGACTGGTATTCTGTACGGAGCACAAGCCTTTTTTGTATTTGATTGTGAAATGTCCAAAAGTGAAAATGAGCAAGACGTCCAGGGAGACCTCCAGCTGATGATCAAGAAGATCCCAAGTCTTTCAATAGAAGGCAAAGGAGCTCTAAAAATGAGTGATGAGGACAAAGCCAAAGTGGAGAAATTCTCCTGTAAGTTTTACGGAGATTTTAACCTGGAAAAAAGCCCAGTGACGTTTGCAGATGCGGTCGAGGTGTATCAAACTCTACCCAAGCTGCTTGGAGATCATGGAAACAGATCTGTACCAGTGAAAGTCTGGCTGCTGCCACTTACAGCTTTGGATTCGGCTGCTGCTCGGCTGGTGCGAGAGATCAGCGTACGTTTGGTTAAAGAATGTCAACACGTCCTTGAAGACTTCCACGACCTGGAGCTGAGGTGCAATGACGCTCTTAAAACTAAAACTGTTCAGAAATTCCCCCAGATCAGCAAAAAAATCAAGTCTTTTAAGGATTTTTTTACTGAGTTCAAATTGGATTTTCAGAAGCTCGTGGCACTAAAGCTTCCTCGGATCCGTGGAGGTGGAGAGGAAGAGGCAGAACTAGCCAATATCATTAAACAGAGAACTTCATCTCCATTCAACAGTTCAAGTCTCAGCAACTGGATGGAGTACAAAGAGAGAGAGATCGGAATCTTGACCTCTTACACAACAATTATGAAAAATACCAAAGTAGTATTGCCTAAAGAACTGGATGGACTGATTCTGAACAGGGACAAGTGTGTTTGCTTTGTCTTCACTTCTCTGGGAGAGAATGAATTGTATCTGGAGTCTTTAGACAAATATTTGAAAGAAAATTATTCATCTTCTATTCATGTACAGGAGCAGGGGCAGTGGTATCTATCTATGGAAGTCGCCAACGCAATGAGACACAGAGCAAAACTGTTCAGTGAATTTGCTGAGGCCAACAAAGAGAGCACAAATGTTACTTTTCTGATCATGGCCCAAACAGATGAAAACCATAAAGGGTCAAGTATATACCTCTATGAAGCATGCAGCCTTCCCAATGAAGACTTTGAACCTCCATCAAAGCCTGCACATGTAACCACACGTGACATCGACTACAATAACTTGACCATAGACATTGGCGCTCCCAAGTTTGGGGCGATAAACGTGACTTCGTACAGCGTGGACTTCAGGGTAGATGGAGCAGGTGGATGGAGCCACATCTCTACCCCTGGGACGGGAAGAGTCACACTGAAAAATCTACAGCCAAACACGGCATATAAAGTCAGATGCCGCGCTGTTACAAGAGTTGGTGTAAGTCCAGTCCATGAAATGGAAGATCCCATCAAAACTTTACCTTGCAGTGCGCCAAGACATCTCCAAGTGGTAGTCTCAAGTAGTGAAATGTCCATCAAATGGCAGAAGCCTGATACAGTAGGAGAAAATGTGGCTCTGTTGGGTTATGTGGTGGAGTTTGCGCGGTGCGAAGAAAGTCTTGAGTGGAACCAGAAATACACAGTGGTTCAGAGCATGGACATCACAGGTATGTTGACACCATTTACAATTTTAGTAATTATTACAATGTGTAAATGTTTGCTTCTTATTTCAGGGCTTCAGCCTGGGGCTACATACGCAGTCAGAGTCCACTGTGACTGTGGCCTCTCAGGAAGAAGCAAAGACACAGACATCCTGCGTGTTGTTACTACAAGACGAGAGTTTGAACGGCTTGCAGAGCACCTCGTACACAACAGCAAAAAGCTCAAAGGTGGATCGTTCCCTCCACAGTACAAACTGCCAGTGGTTAAAGAGGAATTGGACATAGATGGATGTCGCATGTTCAGCCTGGGCAAAGAGAGCACAAGGCACAATCGCACAGTGATGGTGATGGGTGCCACGGGCTCCGGAAAGTCCACTTTAATCAATGCTATTGTCAACTACATCGCCGGAGTGGAGTTCAAAGACAACTTCAGGCTTAAGTTGGTTCACGAAGAAACTTTCAAGTCTCAGGCAGAGAGTCAGACGTCTGAGGTCACTGTGTACAAGCTGTACCATCAGGAGGGCTTCCAGATTCCCTTCTCCCTCACACTGGTGGATACACCTGGTTTTGGAGACTCCAGAGGAGTCCAGCGGGATGAGGAGATCACCGAGCAGATCCGGAAACTGTTCAACTCCTCAGACGGCGTAAGCCAAATCGACGCAGTGTGCTTCGTTGTGCAGGCTGCGCTTGCTCGGCTCACGCACACCCAGAGATATGTCTTTGATTCTGTACTTTCCATTTTTGGCAAAGACGTGGCTGAGAACATTCTTATGCTTGTGACTTTCGCTGATGGACAACAGCCCCCGGTCCTTGCCGCCATAAACGCTGCACGCTTCCCTTACCCAAAAAACGAACTTGGTCTGCCCGTTCACTTCAAGTTTAATAATTCTGTGCTATTCTCAGACAATAGAGAGGCCCAAGGTGAAGATGACAATTTTGAAAAGATGTTTTGGCGCATGGGCACTAAAAGCATGCGGAAGTTTCTCACAGAGTTGAACAAAATGGAAACCAAAAGTTTGCAGATGACAAAAGAGGTGCTGAAAGAACGCAGGCAGCTTGAGACGGCTGTGGAAGGACTTCAGCCACAAGTGAAAGCCGGATTAGCTAAACTCCAAGAGATCAGAGCCACCACAGAGCAAATCAAAGACCACGAAGCTGCCATGACATCCAACGAAAACCACGTGATCGAAATAGAAGTGACCAAACCAGTGCAAGTGCCTCTGAACAACAAAGGGGAGTATCTGACCAACTGCCAGGCATGCCATGTGACATGCCATTATCCGTGTGCAATTAAAGAGGACAATAGGAAAGACAAATGCAACGCCATGGACAGAAGCGGCAAATGCACCGTGTGTCCAGGTTACTGCCACTGGAGCGTGCACCTCAACCAGCCGTACAAGTGGGAGTATGTGGCAGTGAAGCAGAAGCAGACAATCGGAGAAATGAAGGTGTGTCACAGGTTCTCTACATTTTATATTATTGACTGCTTTTAGGTGGAATGATTGAATACACATTAGACATTTGGACTAATAATCTGTGTAAATGTGTGCTGCCTGAAATATGAGAGATGGAACTAGAGAGAATTCTGTGCTTGTGTATGTGCTGCAGTTTCAGTAATAATGAAGACTTGTGACATCTGTTTTCTAACCTGTTGTATACACTTGTAGGAAAAGTATTCCAGGGCCAAAGAGGAAAAGATCTCAGTGCAGCAGCTCATCCAGCGGCAGGAGGAGGAGGTCGATCGGCTGCAGGTAGGCGTCATATCACTGCCTGCCAAATGAATATGAGGGCCCTTGCTACTTTGGCTTGATTAATGATAATTTAGGGATGCTTTTACTCTTCAATTCCAAGTGAACAGGAGTTTACTTTAAGCATCATGAGCTACACCCAGGCATTACAATCATAAACCAAAAATAATAGCTATCTCAGACTACAATATGGCAAAGAATTATAATTATGCTCAAATGTGATACTAAATCATCGATTTATCAGTTAATTTTCCACCACGACCTGCAGGACATGGTGGTGTCACTGATAGACCAATCAGCACACAGTCTGACCCGTTTGAGTGAGATCGCCCTGAGGCCCAACCCGCTCAGTGCTCCGGACTACATCCAGATGATGATCGACGGTGAGAAGAGCCAAGCCCAGCCTGGATACAAGCAGCGCATCCAGGCTCTGCAGGCCATGAAGGACAAGGCCACCATCATCTCACAGGTATGCAGGAATTCTAACAAAGTATGATGAATAATGAGCAGAAAAGGCTAAATAATGATGTAAAACTCTCAACCCACAGGTATCCAAGAAGGACATAGTCAGAACAGCAGAGGAGAGCAGAGAGCAGTTGCAGCCAGAGAAAAAGAAAAAGTTATGGACTAGGATTTTCCAGAGCTAAATTCACAACCTTTAGTGCTATTGTACAAATGTGTTGTGAAAAAAAAGGTATATGTGATATACACTCTAAAAACATAGTGGTTTGAAAAACTCCCAATCTAAATGGTTAAACTGTTTTTGGGTGGATTGACCAATACAGTGGGCACTAATTTGCTTCCCTTGGCGCTACGACCAAAATAGATTACACCCAAACACCAACCTTGTGAATGCGTTAGTGCATTCTGACCAATACTTTGACCAATAAGTTTACACTCTATAACTGATTGGTTAAAACCAACAAAAATGGATGGATTTTAAAGTAGTTAAAATTTAGCTATCCTGAAAGTTAGAATAGATTTATACTCTAACTTTTAGACACACACACTGCAGACAGACTGCAGACAAAGGGGACCATACAGGAGATGAAGGGAGCTGTAGCCAAGGCTCAAAACCTCCACCGCTCCAGATGAGCTACACATGGCATTCTCTGACTGATATTATGCCTATGTTTTTTTTTTTTATACTGTACATCTCTAATAGTTGGACTGCTAGGGAGTAAACGTACTCAATGGTGAAATCAAAGGTTGTAGTAATTATATATAATTTATTATTATTGATCATTTCTGAGAGTTTAGTACGTGGGCATGACATGATGTAAAAGCTATTTAGATTTAAAAAGGTTGTTGACTGCAAAATCACTTTTGATTTGAAAAAAACAATATTGTAGTAGTTGCCTAAGCAACAGTAATTGTTTTGGTGCTATTCTTTCATTCAACAATTATGTTTCATGAGCTATTGACCTCAGAAGCACTGGATTGATACAGCTCTTAATTTGATACAGCTCTATAGTGGTTTAGAGACTTCATTAAATTGTGCCTACCTTGAAATTGGCCTAAACAATAAAACTTGTTATTTTACTATTAATGGGATTTTCTGCACTGTTTTATTTTCTTGCATGTTTTAGATGTGTTAGCATAGAACACAGTAATAAGGATATCTGTCTTTTCACCAAGGCCCAAAAGCTGCCAGACAACTCAATGCAAAATGAGATTACACTTTTGTGTCGGCTGAAAGTAGAACTTCAGAATCTAAAAAAGAAATATTCCAAACAGAAACAAAGATATATTTTAAAAGGTATTGGGTCCAATGCCAACATATCTCATATCCTTTTTTCTCACACAGTGTGGCAACTGAATTTTGGTAGCTTAGTGCCCCCAAAACCTTATCTCAATTAAAACAATGTTTGAATATTCCAGCAATGTTTTGATCTCAGTAGAAATATGTGACACATTCTACAATTCAATATAATCAGGCCCACACCCGTAAATTTAATATGCAAAATGTTAAATGTGAAATTCATTAATATAGTATGTTTGCATTCTTCAGGTAAATGTGTTTTTTTCCTCCGTTTTACCGCATTCAGCCTTTTCATTACAATTTAAAATACTTAATCACTTCTGACTTTTAACAATGTAGGAAAAGAAATGGCTGCATCAGCATGGCACTGCAAGCGAGGGTCAGGGAGGTAAAATGGAAGGGAGACCCAGTCTATTGTACAGCAGACACCAGCGGGACTGGACGCAGACACAAAGAGGAGACGGGGAAAATCAGTCCTTGACCTTTAGAGAAAAGGCCCACACACTGCAGAAGTGCACTCAGGAAAGAAGCTTTGATGGACCTAAGGTACAGACTTTGCATTTGTGACAGAAGTTTTAAATCGCTGCAGGTGTTCTGTGTTATTGCCAGGACTGTATAGACAGTATAGAGTTTCTCCTACTGAAGTGCCACTGTATGCCACTGAATAAGTATGCATGTATATGGGTGAAATTCTTTTTAAACCCCACTTGAATTATTACATGTGATGTAGAATAACACCTATCCTGCTGGTTATCCAATAAAAGTTCTAAGGGTCCATGTGTTAAGCTCATAAAGCTTTATTCAACAGATGTGGGCTCCGAAAGATTCCAGCAATGAATGTAGATCAAACCACAAGGGTCACATAAATGTTTTCTCCTTATACAATGGAAAATAAAATAATCAATCCAAAATATTAATACATATATCAATAAATCAGAAACATATTTTTATAAATTTAAACAATCATTCAACAATAACAAACAAAGCATCATAAAGCATATATGTTAAAGGCTGGCAAATACTTTAAATGAAGACACTGCTACAATATCTGATATGTATGGTAACTATACCCACAAAAGCTCTTGTGAGTGCATATGATTTACTATTTACTGTTTACTGTTGGAATTCATCTTCCTCTGTTCTTGCCATCCTATTAGTTGTTCGTACAATGTTGGACCCCATATATATATATATATATTCCTGGGGATTTTTTTGTTCATTTGAATGTTGTGAATTTCATTGGGATACTTAATGTATCTAAAGTCTGACGTTAAAGAAATGCAAATTAAATTGAAAGCAATGCCTTGTGTCAGTTGTGTCCTCTCTCAACAGATCTAAGCTGTATATTTTCCATGCTGACTGCTTGTCTGGATAAATTATCAGTAACATTACATAAAAAACCATGGAGCATAAAGCAATACACACAGCAGCAAGGGAACCTACAGTACTCTGTCAAAAGTTTTGGTAATACTTCTTTGGTCCACTCCAGATGGTAAAAGAAAGTACTTCTATCGCAGAGGAGAGTAGGCGTCTTCCTCACCGCTCTGAGCAAGAGGAAAGAGAAGCTAAGAATTCCCTGAGATTTATTTCAGTTGGTTTTATGTTTATTTAAGACAACGTTTCAACCCAGCACTGGAGGCAAAAGTAAACATACTGAAACTTTATAAAAATTGACTAAAAGTTACTGTTCTTAAGTGTATTGGTAAATATAATGTGCTGTCAAACATAAATTTCTCAAGACTTGAGTTACAATTTTTTTTACAACAGGTTTATCTTAAACTGGTTTTATTTAATTTGATAGTAGATAACCAAAAACAACTTATAAATAATGTTATGCCACCATGTTGCACCATTTACTCAGGCATAGTCCATCAATCCTAAACTGCAGATTGCAAATAAGATACTGTAATAAGATACTGTAATTTCCATCAACATCCAAATACATGTTTCTGAGAATGGCGTTGCAGTCAGTTCATGTCACCTTGTTAATAGCTGGAACAACTTTTTGTTCGTTTATGAAATACATTGTGTTTGTTCGAAAATAAAGAGGTCTTGTTTCATTAACGTGGACAAATCAGACCGCACTGTATCCAAGATGTGATAGAGGCCTACACTACAAGCATGTGAAAACTGGAGATTTTATTATATAGTGGATTGAAAGTCATACACTCCAGCTTTAACTGCCGTATTGCCCAGTATCCTACAATTGTTGGCTAAAATACAATTGTGTTCTGTCTGCTGTACAGTAGATGCACAACATATGGTGCTTCCTTGCAGATCTGGCTTGTTAGACGCTGATGAATGGACTACATCTGGCTGTATTCATTCCCCGAGTCCAAACAGACACCACAGTCACCGGTTTACTGCTAATGCCCTATATATATATATATGGTCATCCTTATCTCACACATTTAGTCAAATACGAGGGAAATCCCCATTAGTTATGTGGAGTGATGGTATAAACTACAGCTGAGTGTGCAGGGGCCGTGTCCTAGTTGAAGACACACTTGCCTGTTTCCCTGAATGGGACAGGGGAGACCTTCCAATGCACCTCAGTTGAAAGCCTCATTAATAACTGCCACCAACACTGACAAGACTTTCAAGGCAGTAAAATAGCTTCATCCTGCCTCAATGGCTCATGGTACACAATCAATTTCAGAACCGCAAAAATATATTACGCTGTTTTACTGATAATAATAAATGAGCATTAGGCAAGGACTAATGCGACCAATTTGTCTTTGTGAAGATCACTAACGGAGCAAAACCTTGGAGAACTTAGGTTTTTCATTGAATACAGGTCTTTTTTTGTTTCATGATCTTGTGTAACTCATCAAAAGAGCGATAAGACAGTGTTTGCAAAAGCATCAATGGAAGATGAACCGTTTTGACCACAAACATAATATGTGGATTGTTTTCAGAAAGACAAAAACAAAGTAACTGACAACTATGAACAGAAGCACAATTATACATGATTGTATTAGTTTAAAAATATATCTTTTTCAGCTTGTTAATTTATGTAAAAACTCAGTATAATTGATAATTATAAATATGCCATGAGTTGATGAGTTCATTAGGTTTTGTGCATCTATACTAAATATCCTTATACTATACTCTTGGTCTGTTAGCGCCATCTTGTGGTTGATAGTGGAGTCAAGGGTACTGATGACCTGTGAAGGGATTTATCTATTTTCCTCATTTCCACACCCTCTAGTGCAGGGGTCACCAACCTTTTTGAAACCAAGAGCTACTTCTCCGGTACTGATTAATGCGAAGGGCTACCAGTTTGTTACACAATTACATAAATTGCCAGAAAAAGCCAATTTGCTCAATTTACTTTTAACTCTGTTCATATTAATAATTAATGATATTTATCTTTGTGGAAACACTGATCATCTTAACGATTTCTCACAATAAATATATATAGAAACAGATAAATATCAATATGCAACATTTTTCAAATTGAACATTTTCAAACGATCACTTCTTGTGAAATCACAATATCCCATTTTAACCAACTAGCCACTAACATTTTTTAACAAATCATGAATAACTTTGCACCATGTTTATACAAATAATAACTCATGTAAAATACAACAGTCAACTCTCGTCACACGTGATAGTGATCTCACAGGAGTTTAGAAACCAAAGCAAAGTCCCATTTACGCTGCTACTTTCTCCTCTTCAGAACAAAAACAACAGTGAAGCTGTTTGAGATCATTACATGTGTTTCTACTGTAGGTTTTTGTGACAGTTCTAAACTCATCGTTTCAACTCATTTAACTCTGATGTTGTGAATAAAGACACAGTTCTTGTTGGAAACATAGTTATTATTAAAGTGTATTCAGCACAAACAGATAATCAATAAGTGGTAAATATCTGAGAAAAACACGAACTATAAGTGCAGTAGGAATGCAACAGACGCGATAAGCTACAACGCAAACAAGACAGGAACAGTGCAAAAGAAACAACTGCACAGTTTATAAGTTATATCAGGCTCTGCCATGAGACCAAACTACTTTTCCTTCGGTTCCTTCGAAGCACAAAGCGGTCTGCTCCGAAGTGCCTCGTCCGTGCTCCCTGCAGCCGCTCCATGCTTCCGTCCAAAACACACACACGAACCAATCACAGCGGAGCTCCTCTCACACACGGACCAATCACAGCGGAGCTTGTCTGCGGCGTTGGCCGCGTAGTATTCGAGGGTGCGTGGCAGGCTACGTAAGGGCCTTCATGTGATCCACGCGTTGCGCATGTGACGTCACGTCACCTCCGTAAGCTCCGCGCAGCGCACTAGGCTTGAGTGCTACTATTTAAGCTATTTTTAGAACAGGCCAGCGGGCGACTCATCTGGTCCTTACGGGCGACCTGGTGCCCGCGGGCACCGCGTTGGTGACCCCTGCTCTAGTGGTTATATTGAATCATTGATATCAAAAGGCTCACTTAAAAATATACAGATATATATATTACAAATTATTGAAAGTATAATATATATTTTAGTAAGTTCTTCAACAGGAATGGTTCGTTTTTTTAAAATTTTCTTTTTTTTTACCAGTAGGGGGAACCTTAACTGCATTTTCCTTTAGGCATGTTTTGATCATTTGTAAATTGTTTCTGGCAAAAATATGAAAAGCATGAATACAACAAATATGAAATATGTGTATGCATATGTACAAACAAAGTAATTCGTTTGCGCTCACACACACGCACACATAGACATACACACGCACACAGACACACACGCAGCGTCATTGCATTACAGACATAGATAGGCCTTCTTTCCTCAAAACATAGGCTCATATTAAACCCAGTTTTTGTGAGCAGCAGAATGGATCTGAACGTCAGAGAGGTGGCTGGTCCCTGAGCAGGTGTGAGTGAATGCACAGCTTTACTTGTTATTATGGGTTTCGTAAAGAGGCTTTTTAATACTGTAGCTCCGGCCCCGAGAGGTTGACAAAGAAAAGAAAAGCTTAAGACGCTGAAGAAAGTGAAGCAAACGTCATGTCTGGATTTGTCATAAATCCAGACATAACGTACAATATTTCTTCCTGAATGTGATTGTATTTTGTTTTTACTGCACTAAGGGAATGTCGATGTAAGGGAGTGACCACTAGATGGGGCACTCGGACTGGTTCTCTTTCGGGTGACGGCCTTATTTTTATTATGGTCCTTATGTTCTGGGCTGGCCACCGTAGCGCCAGCGTCAATTGGCTGCGTAACGCGTCATCCGCCCTCTTTTCTTTTTGCCTTTACGTTGTAAGGTCCCATGAGCCAAGCAACTTCTTTCAAGAACCTCAAAGTAAAACTGCACTTCCACAATCAAAATCGAACTGCTGTGTCTGCTGTGGTCCTTCTCTCACCACCACACCTATCACTCATAAACAACACAACGCAGAGTCCAGAAGCTGGGTGTGTTGGGACCACTCACATAAAACACAGTGAATGAGGGTTACATCTTTTTGGTGCCGTGACCCGGATTGTGGTACTTCTAAAAGTGCATAGAGGTGTTGTTGCTTGGCTCGCCCTGGATGGTGTCCTGCCCGTGGTGAATGCTGTCGAGGTGGTGGACTGCGTGCCTGATCTTGGACCAGCTGGACCTGCCGTACCTGCGTGCCGTTCTGCATCGGATCCATTGGCCCCCTTCATCCGCGCACCAAGCTTGGTTAGATGCCACCCGCTGACCAGTCATCCTAAAGCTGAGCTGGGTTATAAAATCAACTCAGCCGCCGAACGGTGGAAAAGCTCAGATTTGACTTGCTTTTTGTTTTTTCGTTTTATTTTGGGCTATACAATTTTGGGCTGTTTAATTGTATATTAAAACACAAATTATTCACATTGTAATAGACCAACCATGCTGCACCAGATAACTATTGATATGCCTGAAGAAGAGCAAGGACGCCAAGTTAGTCCTTCCACCCTCCAGACACAGACTGGTTTCCGTGATCCCACCCAGGCCCCTCCCACTCACCCTTACCCAACTCCAGCTCACTCGACGGGTCTGCCCTTTTTCGATTATCGCCATCTGCTTCCCTCACCTGCCTTTAACCACAACTCTGCCGTCAGACCCCATTCATCAACCATGGTGGGTCAAAGGCAGCTTGTGGTGCCTGGCTCAGTCCCCCTTCCTCAACCATACCTCTGGGGCCCAGCAGGTGTGTCACCCTTCACCTCGTGCCCCCCTGCTTCTCCGTTGAACTTAGAAACAAATGCGCCATTGTACCATGCCCCACCAGTGCCCCCTGGGGTCATGTCTGCCAGCGCTGCTACCCGCAGAAGCTCTCCTGCCCCGGCTAATGGAGGCTTCATTCAGACACACCAGGTAAAAAATGTACAGATTTTCACTGGTAACATGGACAGTAAAATACTGGTGGAGGATTGGATAAGGGACATGCAGTACCTCCTCGATGCTGTTGAGTTACCCATGCACCTCCGATTTTCTACAGTGGTGAGACACCTCAGTGGTGAGGCTAGAAAGCTTGTGTTAAACTTGCCCTATCATGAACAAACCCCTGAAAGAGCATTTGATGAACTAAAAGCAGAATACAGTGAGGCTCACTCCTCCCTCGATCCACTCGCAGACTTCTATGAGCGCAGTCAGAAACCTGGTGAATCTGCATGCTCTTTTGCTATAGCGTTAGAGTCTATACTGCGCACTGTAGAAGAGAGTCAACGGGGTGGGCGTTCATTTCCAGACAGGGATAGCAAGCTCACTCGTCAGTTTTTGAGGGGACTTATTGATGAGGGGGTATACACTAGGATTGCCCCTCTTAAGCCTAGGTTGCTTTGTTTCAGGGAGCTGCAAGCTGAGCTCCGTGACCTAGCCCGAGAGAGTAATAGGTTCCTAACTCCACATAAACAGAGAAAGTTGTATAGTCAGGTCCACACAGCAGAAGAGCCTAACAGTGACACGAAAAGGGGTAAAAGCAAAGCCACTTCAGAGTTATCTGAGTTAACAGAGATAGTTAAAAAGCTTTCCCTGAACCAAGAAGAGCAGATGACTAAACTTGCTGACCTTGAATTAAAAATAGCTAACTCTACACCTACTGTTAGACCTGCGCTGAGAAGTAGGCCCCAAAGTGCAAGTATCACATGTCACAGGTGTGGTAAGCAGGGACACATAGCTCGTGTCTGCAGAAGTGTCCTCACAGATAGCGGCCCTGGACTGTCTAGGCAGTCCCAGTCTGCGGATGTCACTGAGAGCCCCCCTCCATCAGTGCTGACTTTAAACTTGTGAAGCCCGTGGTAGAAGGGGCCACCATGGGCACCTCCAGATGTCCCCCCCCAAAAACGTCCCTCAAGAATGGGGAGCAGATGCTATTAGTGGGGCCAAGAAATGAAGGAGGGGTGGTGATTAATGGGTTAGAATGCACTGCTCTTATTGATTCAGGCTCACAGGTTACTACAATCACGGACAGCTTCTACAGTAGACATCCTGTGCTGAGAAAGCAGAAACTACAGCCTTCCACAGTACCTATAGAAGGGGCAGCGGGCCAGGCCGTGCCTTACAGGGGTTTCATTAACATAGAGTTGAAGGTGTTGGGCAAAGTGTTTAATTCAGTCCCTACATTTGTCGTTCCTGACTCTGATTATCGCTCCTCTGTCCCTCTCTTAGTGGGTACCAATGTGCTCAGGGCCTCCCGTAGTTATCTTAAGGAAACCTATGGGCAGGATTTCATGCACCAACTCAAGGAAGAACATCCTGAGTGGTACACAGCATTACTGGAAGTTGAACAATGTGAGACAAAACAGACAAGTGACCTGGTGGGCCCCGCTGTATTTGCTGGTCGCAAAGTGAGAATTCCTGCTGGGAAAGAAATGGACTTGAAGTGCAAAATAAAAGCTGGCCCCCAAAAGCAGACATACACTGCCCTTCTCGAGAGCCACGCCTCTTTAGGCCTTCCCCTGGACCTTCTCATTGCTAAAGTGCTGGCTAATGTAGACAAAGGCTATGTCCCAATCAGAGTTATGAACCTGTCCCAATGTAGTATCACTATAAGACCCCAGACTCCTCTAGCTAATGCCTTTCTTGTTGATAGTGTGCTTGAGTTCCCAGGCCATGTGTGTCCCTCGGATACAACACAACCCAGTGTGAGTCTAAACCATGTTGTTACTGAGAGTATAGTGGATTTAAGTGAGGCTGCAACAGAGAATGAACAACAGCGCACTCTCCTTAAACAACTCATAGACAAAAACAGGGATGTTTTCTCACAGCATCCAACGGACTATGGTCATACTACGACTGTGCAACATGACATACCACTCATTGACTCCAAACCTTTTCGGTTGCCCTACCGCAAGATTCCCCCCTCACAATGGCAGGACGTTAGGAAGATGCTCACTGACATGGAGGCTGCAGGAATCATTCGGCCCAGTAAGAGCCCCTACGCTTCTCCTGTGGTGATAGTGACCAAAAAAGATGGATCGCTTAGGCTTTGTATTGATTACAGAAAGCTAAACTCGTGCAGCACAAGGGATGCTTTTCCCCTTCCGAGAATAGAGGAGGCTTTGGAGGCATTGGGACAGGCAAAGTACTTCTCCACACTTGACCTCACATCAGGCTACTGGCAGGTGGAAGTAGCAGAGCGGGACAAACACAAAACCGCATTCAGTACACCCATGGGCCTGTTTGAGGCCAACCGAATGCCCTTTGGCCTTCAAAACGCCCCCTCCACCTTTCAGAGACTCATGACATGCTGTTTCGGGGATCTCAACTTTACTCACCTTCTGATCTATTTGGATGATTTGATCATATTTGCAAAGACTTTTGATGAACATTTAGAGAGACTGCAGCAGGTGTTCGACCGCCTCCGACAGCATGGTTTGAAGCTCAAGCCCTCCAAGTGTCAGTTAGTGAGAGAAGAGGTGCAATATCTGGGTCACATAGTGTCAGCTGAAGGGGTTAAAACGGAGCCAGAGAAGATAAGCAAGGTTAAAGAGTGGCCGAGACCAACAAACAGGAAGGAGGTGCTCCAGTTTCTTGGGTTTGTGGGATATTATAGGAGGTATGTCCCAAACTTCTCCTCCATAGCTGCCCCTTTGTACTGCCTCACATCAGGTGACCCTAGAAAAAAGAAAAGGGGTTTGCGCAAACATGCTGATCCTGCTCGCCCTTTTGCATGGACTGAAATGTGCGAGATTGCCTTCTCACTGCTAAAAGAAAAACTTGTTACTGCACCAATACTTGGTTACCCAGATTACAGTCAACCATTTGTACTCCAAACCGATGCATCTGGTGGCGGTTTGGGGGCAGTGTTGGCACAGATCCAGGGAGGGCAAGAGAGAGTGATAGCCTATGCTAGCAGGGGCCTTACACCACCTGAGACCCGGTACCCTGCGCATAAACTCGAATTTCTTGCCCTTAAATGGGCAGTAACGGATAAGTTCTACGATCATTTGTATGGCCGCAATTTTTCAGTTCTGACAGACAATAACCCCCTTAAGTATGTGATGTCCTCAGCTAGACTCGATGCAACAGGCCAGCGTTGGGTCTCACAACTATCCATTTTCAACTTCGACATACAGTATCGGAGTGGCAGAAACAATGCAAATGCTGATGCACTCTCGCGGATGTCCGATCAAGATGTCGCCAAAGCCCTGCTTTCTTGCCCTCAGGTTACATGTCACAGTGGTTTTCCTGTACCTGTAAACTCCCCCACTACAAGTGATGCGCACCGGAGTGATAGCAACACTAATGAGCCCTACACTGATGTGGGAACAGAATCGCTCCCGGCATTGACCACAAATGAGATACGTTTGGCCCAAAGAGAGGACTCTATCATTGGCCCTGTCCTGTTCTCAAGGACCCGCAATCAAAAACCAAGCCGCTGTGAGAGGGCCGAGATGAGTGTGCAGGGGCGCCTTCTCTTAAAGGAGTGGAGGAGGTTGGTGGTGACAAACGGAATCTTGTTCAGAAAAGTCAAAGACCAACAAAGGGGTATAGTGGAGCAGCTTCTACTACCTGAGATATTACGCAAAAAAGTCAAAATCACCCTCCATGATGACTCAGGGCACTTGGGCTTTGAGAGGACTTTGCAAATGATAAGAGAGCGGTTTTACTGGCCCAAAATGTTTCATGAGATCAAGACATGGTGCGAGCAATGTGAAAGGTGTTGCCTGAGGAAAACTCCTACAGCAGGACTTAGAGCCCCTCTGGTCAGTATCCACACTAGTGCCCCAATGGAACTGGTTTGTGTTGACTTTTTAACATTAGAAAGATCTAGAGGGGGCATTGAACACGTCCTCGTTGTTACAGACCACTTCTCTCGCTACGCTCAAGCGTACCCCACCAGAGATCAGAAGGCTAGCACAGTGGCTAGAACATTGTGGAAAAACTACTTCTGTCGCTTCGGATTCCCTGCCAAGCTCCATGCAGACCAGGGCAGAAATTTTGAAAGCGCCATTGTTAAAGAGCTGTGCAAATGTGTAGGCATCACTAAAACTCACACAACGCCATATCACCCACAGGGCAATGGCACCACAGAACGTTTTAATCGCACATTAATGAATATGCTCGGCACTCTTGAACCCCACCAAAAGCCTCGCTGGCACGAACATGTTGATGCGATGACTCATGCGTATAACTGTACACAGCACGACTCCACTGGGTATACGCCATACTATCTTATGTTCGGCAGACACCCCAGACTCCCCGTCGACCTGGTTTTTCGGCTCTCCACTGAGAACACACCATGTGAATACTCTGAATATGTCCAAACCTTGCACACCGCCTTATCCGAGGCGTACGCCCAGGCTAATCAGTCCTCACACCAAGCTAAAGAGATGCAGAAAAAGCACTATGACAAAAGAGCTAAGGATCAGGTTTTCAATCCAGGGGATAGGGTGCTGTTAAAGATTTGTCATGTTGAGGGTCGCCAGAAACTGGGAGATAAATGGGAGTCGCACCCATACATTGTACTCAAAAAGCAGGTTAACGTCCCAGTATATGTGATAAGGAGAGAGGCTGGGGGAGCAGAGCGAGTGGTTCATCGCAACTTATTAACACAGTGCATGTTTCTCCCTGTGCAGCAGAGACAAACGTCACAGGAGGACGGCAATGCAACAGATAGTGAACATGAGCAACAAGACATTGACAATATGGAGGAGTCAGATGGGGAGGATGTAGGGGAGTCAGCCGACTGCCCCGACCCCATAAGTACTGGCCAAGCCCCAGTCCCACTGACCTCAACCGGGGCAGAAACGTTAGCAGGGCTGGGGGAGGAAGAGATTGATGAACTGTGTTTCCCATCACCAGAGCCCTGTACCACAAGGAGAAATCCTGTAAGGAAACGTTGTCCTCCAAAGAGACTTTCATATGAGACCCAAGTGATGGGGGGGGACAGTGTCCAAAGAAAGATTGATAGAGGAAGAGAAATATGGCAAAGAGTAAAAGAAAAAAGGATTTGTGGTCACACATGAATGTACACACTGAACTTCTTTTTGTTGTTGTTGTGTGTTATGGGTTTTTTTGTTGTTGTTGTCGTTTTCGACTGGGGGTGTCTGATGGTCGGACGCCATCAATTAAAGGAGGGGTGGATGTAAGGGAGTGACCACTAGATGGGGCACTCGGACTGGTTCTCTTTCGGGTGACGGCCTTATTTTTATTATGGTCCTTATGTTCTGGGCTGGCCACCGTAGCGCCAGCGTCAATTGGCTGCGTAACGCGTCATCCGCCCTCTTTTCTTTTTGCCTTTACGTTGTAAGGTCCCATGAGCCAAGCAACTTCTTTCAAGAACCTCAAAGTAAAACTGCACTTCCACAATCAAAATCGAACTGCTGTGTCTGCTGTGGTCCTTCTCTCACCACCACACCTATCACTCATAAACAACACAACGCAGAGTCCAGAAGCTGGGTGTGTTGGGACCACTCACATAAAACACAGTGAATGAGGGTTACATCAGCAAAGCAACATGTTATAGGAAGGACCAGGTATTGCTAAAATTGTTTACAATATTGTTTTACAGTTGTACATTTAAATTTGGGTGATATTTTGTTACTGCTTTAGCTTAATGTAGTCTCATGTTAGTTGCATTTAAAGTGTATTTGCTTTTTTCACAGAATCACAGAGCACAAATATATGAATTGTAGTTCAACACATAACACCTTTGCAAAGTTAATACATTTGACCTTAATATCTAAAAGCTAGAATAATTATACCAGAAATATACGGCAGCACTTTTTCAAGATTGTTTTTTTATGAAAGCTTGGGTACATACTGTAGCTTTCAAACCACACAAAACCACACTAGTACCTCACCCTAATACAGTTTTCACATGCATGCATCTTTTGCCGCAGCTTTTTCCAACAAAAAATAGCTCTTATTTGACAAGTATACACAATATATTATGAATTCTAATAAGACGAAGACATCATTTGACTTTAAGACTTTTGTTTGAATGGGGAAAAAGATAGAAAATGTTAGTGCAGCTTTAGTAAATGTTTTCAGTACCTTAACAGATTTAACTGATTTAACATGCAAACACGCAGCTCTCTCCTATACACACATGTAATTCCAGTGTATAACCAGTCAGATGAATAGGCTGTCTTTCCTAATAGTTTGTCCTAGATTCCCCACCTGCAGTGGCCTTATTCTTCACAGAGGTGTCTTCTCCCAACACCAAACAACGCCTTCTCCAGCGTTACTCCAGGCCGCCCATGGGACCTGCAGCGCTACATCACATGCTGCACACACTTTTATGACATTGCCTCCTTCCTGGTGAGTGGATTACAGAAGTTTGCATTATTTATGAGAGCTGTTTTAGAGATAATCATTCTGGCACTTAAAATAACTAAACAGGTACAAAATGGTACATAAGGGAAGCTCATGAAGAGTCTTGTTATAATTCAGGACACAATAGCAGTCAAAAAGGTGAGAGAATCCAACTGTCATGTTGATAGAGTTCTACTTATAACTTTTGCACACAAAAAATGAAGCTCAATTGTTTCCCTATAGATGCTTAAATTATAGACACAACAGAATATATTTGTCTTTAAACCAATTCGTTTTTAGAATATTTTCAAATGTTGTTTAAATGAGATTTTTTATAAAGAAAAGTGAAAAAGAAAGTACCAATCGGCTCTCAGCCCACATCGTCAAATAGTGATCCACTGGGATCTTGCAAAATAACACGTTTGACAAGATGAAAACTGCATGTTGTGCTCTGATTGATTTGTCAGTGCTCAGACTGACAAATAAATTGTACAATTTATTGTATTAAAAAGTTAGATACCCTAACTTTTTATACATATATATATATATATATATATATATATATATATATATATATACACATACATGGTAACATCCGGAAAAAGGAACATGAAAAGCTTGAGAAATACCAAGGTCTCAGAGAGGAGCTGGAGAGGGCCTGGAGGGTAAAGGTGACAGTAGTGCCTGTGGTGATCGGTGCACTCGGGGCAGTGATCCCGAAGCTAGAAGAGTGGTTACAGCGGATCCCCGGAACAACCTCGGACATCTCGGTCCAGAAATGTGCAAAGAACAGCAAAGATACTGCGCAGAACCCTCAAGCTCCCAGGCCTCTGGTAGAGGATCCGAGCTTAGAGAGTTTATCAAAACTGTGTCAATACAGAGGAAGCTATTGACACACCCCATTCTTCTAATCAATTGCTAAAGGTTATTAGCACTTGATAACAACACTACCTATGGACACTACTTGTCTTTAAATTTACATCATTACAATATACAATGACACATCGACAGACATTAAACATATTTGCTGTTTTTTATTCCTGTTTATATTAAATTATAACAAAACAAAAAGACAAGTGGACATCATGCTTCTCTATTGCCAAACTGACAATGTCGCAGTGAGTGAGTTTGGCAGGTGAACCGTACAACAGCACGTTTGTTAACAACTCAAAGAATCAATAAGCACATACTGGGAAAACATGCCGTTACTTCAAACTGAATCAATCAATGATTGCAACTTGCACTGCATTCCACTGTGTATTATTGTTCCAAGGTTGACTCATTGCTATCATATGAGTCTTGTCCTTTTACATTACTGGATTACAAACCAATTTATTGCATGTGGAAAACAAAAGCTTCTCAATCTCTGGGATGGGCTGAGTAACATTGAGGACAGCATTTACCCTGATGATACTCTAAGCAGAAATAAATGTATTAGACAATTTCCTGAATGAATTGTACACCATATTTGCTAAAACAGTATTATGCAGTGAACAGCTGTTTTGAAGGCAGAAAAATATGAACTTGGAGGTTAATCTCCAACTTCAACGTTTGACAGATTACGCAAATTGTACTACATAGATAGAAACTTTATTGATTCCTGTAGGAGAAATTCAGGTGTCCAGCAGCAGAAGACTCATCCAGATTTGTTGAACAGTATGACAGCCAAAAGAGCAAAGAATCTTTTGAAACGTTCCGTTCGGCAGCGCAGTGAGAGGAGTCTGTTGCTTCGATTACTCGAGCGTCCATAGTGTCATGCAGAGGGTGTCTGGAGTTACCCAGGATGCCCTGCATTAGAGCCCTCATCCTTCTCTCCAGCACATCTCCCACAGAGTCCACACTTCTCCCGATCAAAGAGATACATTACCTGATCAGTCTGTCGAGCCGGTTTCTGTCTCTCGAGATCAGACTGTCGCCCCAACAAACACCCAAAGAACACAGCACTAACTACAACAGACTGGTAAAATATGTACAACATCTGACTGCTCACATCAAAGGACCTCAGTCTACTCAGGAAGAAGAGTCTACTCTGACCATATTATAGTCAGCATTGGCCTGAGCTGACCAGTCCAGTTGGTGGTCCAAGGTAATGGTACCTAAGGGGTCCAGTGAAAGTCAATGATCACCTCCTTGGTCTTGGACACATTGAGAATCAGACCATTTCTCTCACTCCAGTCTGAAATATTCTTTGTCCATTACAATAAAAATCATATCATATGAAAATAGACTGCAAAAATAAGTCATTTTTATCAATCACTCAATATTTGTAGAGCGCCTTTCCTAGACAGGGCAAAACAAAGTGCTTCACAGTCAAAAACAAACATCAAAATCATCATTAAAAACACAGTTTAAAATCACACTGGTTATTAAAACCTGTGTGATTTTTTGCTGTGAGAGTTACACTAATGTCCAGGGCAGGGCATATGTGTTAGAAGCACACAAACACTGTCCCATTGCAGTACGAGACCACATGGTGAGCTGATGCTGTGACAGTGTGCGTTGGACGTGTCTTTGGGGCCCTCTATTATTTACACTGCCTTCCTCTGGCCGCAATGAGACATGACAGGAGCCACAGGAAGCTCATGAATTAAACAGGGGGGTCTAAAAGCACAAGGGGAGGGGACCGGCTGACGGAGGACAGACAGATGCTCAGTGGCTGATATCGCTGAGGTGATTTTGAACCAAGAGGACATTTGGGGACATGTGAGAACAATAAGAAACATTATACTGGCTCTGAGTCATTAGATTAGAAAAGTATGATAGCACTAAAGAATGTGTAAGTATAGCAACATTATACAGGTTTGTGATTGACTGAGACCATGCTTCATCACTCATCACAGCAGTAGTTATGGGTTATTTATGGGTATATAATGTAAAACTTATATGTATTATTCAAAATATCATACAGCATTTATCAGTATCGGTTTATAGAGTCTGTCCAGATCTATTATACCTGATAGATCTAGGACCTGGACCTACACATTAGGGCAAATATTCTCAAATGGTCTGTTTTAGGGAAAAAAAAACTTGAAATACAGTATGTTTATTCTATTGAGTCTTTTGTTCAGTCTGTACAGTATGGTTGGGAACTTCTGCTCAAGATATCAGTATTGACTCAATAAAACCAGTTGCCCACATTTGCTCTAAAAATGCCCCAGTCTCTGTGTGGTCTTTGCAATGGATTTTAAAACTGCTATATTGGCATCAACAAAAAGCAGTAAGACAAACAGCAGATATTGGTAAATCCATCACATAATGTATAATTGATTTTAAAGCAACAGCCACATAAGTCATTGAGAGACATTCGTGCATGATGTCAGTGCATCTGATGGGGCTGTGGCTGAGAGCTCTGGACCGTATGTCCGCATTGAAGGGATAACCTCATTTAGACTGTGACTCATCAACGGTAAAAGAGCCAAGCGGTGCACTTCCTGTTGCACTGTGAAGGGTATTTGACTAATAGTGGCTTAGATCATAGAAATTGATAGATTATTACAGTATTTGGTGCAGCGTGTTTGATGGAAAATGTGCATTATTGTCTACGGAATGAAACATCACCTGGATTCGTCGAGACATAATTGTGATTCAGAAATAAAATAGACATAATGAGCTTGTCTATAAACCCAAGCTCGTACTGGTAAAGAATGTGTCTCTTTGATGACGTAGTTTTCCTTCATACATTAGAGCTTTAAGACCGAAGTTTCCATAAATGTACCCAAGACTGCAACTACATACTATTCTGCTAAACAACTCATCTTGTAAATATTATTTTTGACAAATAGATTCAAAATGTAGTAAGAAATTCAAGAACTGCACCGGTACCCAGAAAAGTGTTTTGTTTCTCCTGTACATAGTGACCATAGCTCTAATTATGTTAATGTAGCCTATACTTAGATTTATAATGGGGAGTGAGACATCTAAAAACATGTATTACTTTTTTGTTTCTTGAGTCATTGATTAATGGAAGCAAAGGTTGTTGACATGATTGTAGCATTTAACGGATGGGTATTATTTGACGGGCTTAGCATGTCTTTTCCCATTGGCGCTGTGCATGAGCTGTATTATTAATGCTAAATATAACCATTTGTCTCAGGATTATCCCATCACTAAGATTAGAACGGGCTCATAAGTAGTGTACCACAACATTACAATGGGTGCATGTACGGCACTGCTTCCTTTCTTTGTCTCACCTGATTTCTGTCTTTTACTATAATGCTGATTTTTGTAACTCACTTTTTACAGGAAGTAACTCTAATGACATCCACTTTCATTGGTCCCCAGGGACAAGCAGCCATCCCTCATGACTTACCAAGAACAGGGATCCGCCTGGTTGTGCCGCTGCTGCTAAAATGATCTCATCCTGACTTCAACAACGGGCATCAAGCCATCAAGTGCATTTCTTTTTATTCTTCACTATTTGGTCCACAATTATTGATCCTGCATAAGAAACAAAACGAGACTATTATAAACAATACACATGGATGTGACTTATGTGTGCCAAGTTAATTAGTGTAATTCACTTTTTAAACACCGTTGACACAGTACATTAGCTGTAACAGTAGGCTGTGTCTGTGGAGTATCAGTTGTCATTTGACGCGCGCTTGAGTGCTCTTAATTCCCTCTGGAGCCTATCTGGACAAGCATCTACACAAACAAGAGACCAGGGCTGGATATTAAGTTTTAAAATTATATGTGTACATGTCAATACATTTAGATGTTTATTGAACACAAACAAATAACCCCTATCGTCAGGAATGCGTTTGACGTGGCTCTTCATGCCAAAATGTATCACAATCTCTGTGAATGCTTTACTCCACATTCGATGCTTTACTATATAATGTTATATATTATATTATTTGAACTAAATCTATTCATTATTTTGATCTATACTTGCCCACACTAGTCGTTTGTTATTGTGGCTTCCATTCCATGTCCTTAATAGTTAATTAGCACTATGAACTTTTTAGAAAAAAGTTATTCCAAATAATGTTTTCTAAAGATGTTGTTTTTCCCCATTTGTCTGAGGACTAGGTTGTTGGGGTGTTTTTAAAAAAAAATTTCCCCATCACAGTGCAAACAAGTGTGACTGAGGGGTCCAAGTGTGCTACTCCCCCCACCCCCATCTCACCACCACTCGGTCCATATGTGCATTCAAGTGGCAGCTGCAAACTCCCCCACTTGCCCTATAAAACGAAAGTGAAAAACAGCCTTGTACACAGCTATGAAAGTCATTTTGGGCTGTTTGTGAGTGATGAAGAGGAAACAACTTTTTAGTTCCTCTTTCTTTGTGCACCACATTTATTTAACATGATTGTCAAACTGAGAAAGCATGTATCTTTTCAGACGAGAAACCAAAAAAGAAATTATGAACTGTGCAAGATACAGAGCTCATTGACCTCAATGTGAAGACAAGACACATCGGGAGGTTTTCAATTTAAATATGAATGAATAAATGGTAATCCCATGGTATCACAGTTTACAATAATCTATAAATGATATTTTTTTCTTTTTTTGTGTGTCAATAACCACAATATTGGTCAGAGATTTACCAATCTGTTAGCTGTGGACCAACCAATTTAGTTGTGTTAAACTAATATTGGACAAAGCCTTATATTGGTCAGACAGTGATGAGCAATGATTTCCATATGACCAAAATAGATTGGTTAAAAACATTACCATGCAAAGTATTCCTGACAAACACTTTGTATATGTCTATTGTGGCGCCATCTGCATGTGAAACCCGGATCAAAAGCTAAGCAGGAAAGGGTTTCGTTTAAATTGTGATGGGAGATCTTTTGGAACATCAGAGCTAAAGAGCTAAACTGCTAAACTGTTGTTGTGTCCTTAGGCAAGACACTTCCCCCACAATGGCTATGAGGCAGATGTGAATGATTGGTGATGGTGTGCCACCTATTGTAGCTTTAGTGGTTAAAACAACAAACTGATTATATATTGAGAAATGCTGCTAAAAGGATATATCAAACTTTATACATTAAAAAGTGTGGTTGAAAAACCACAGATGGGGCAGAGTTAAAACAAAAGGGCTCCAAAACCTTAATTACCCAAGGCACACATCACTACACTATGAAAATGGTAAGGAAATAAACCCATCTGGCTCCTTGAATAATAGTTACGGTAATAGTTATTTAGTCTTACTATACTCTGAAAGCAATGAATTGACCCAATTTCCACTACTTTCCTCTGCTGACAGTTCACATTTTATTTATATGTTTACACGCACATGTGGAAATAGCATCACTTTATCTGCCTCCTCCAGCTCCCTCCGGGGCTCATAGGAGGTGTGAGCAGCAGACTGTGCAGACCGGCGCAGCACATTAGTAACTCTCTGACATGTGGATCGTTGGCTCGGCACATATTGCACTCGCTTAGGGCAATGCCAGCAGAAGTCTCAAAGCAAACAAGCAGCCCCAATTAGAATAGTACAGAAAAGTGGGCAATGCATGGAAAAAAAACAAAAATAATAAGCTCCATGTTAAATTACAACAAACAGCTTTACCACTAAATACCAAGAGCACTAAATAAATACATGTTGTTTGCCATGCATAAAATAAGTGCAATATCACAACTACACAAACAAGGAAATGTGGAAATATATCAAATAAAGTCATCATTGGTTCATTTACAGCAGGGATGTCCAAACTAAGGGCCACGGGCCAACTGTGGCCTACTGGAACATTTTATGTGGCCCTCTGCCTTGCGAATACAAAGTAGCCATTGACGCAGCATCCAGCCATCTTCAGCTCCACCCATTCACTCTATAAAGCTTAGCCCCTTTGGAATTGTGTCAAAAAAGTTCATATATGGTGCAAATGTATAGACTTATCATACCCAATTTTAAAGCCCAAATATGGCCGAATCCAGTTTTACAATCCATGTTGTGGGTTGCTGGACAATTCAGGTTAACTAAAGTGGCCCTCTTACTAAAATGTTTGGACACTCCTGATTTAGAATAACTCAAAAAATTGGCAACACAAAAACTGCCAAGTAAAATGCATATTTGTTGCCTTGCATCAAAGTAAAGAAATTGGAACATGCCATCACAAACACCAGGTGATTATATAACAACAATATTTAAGCAATTGCTGTTGTTTTAATGCTGAGGAAATAAATTACATTAAGTTAATAAAGAGCATTATAGTGATTACATTATATTAATTACAAGATAACATTATGCTTAATAATAGTGCAATTTTACAATTATATTGTAATTATAATATATCAATATATTTTCAAGCGATTCAATATGATTTAGTAGACATTGATCCTTAATTGACCCTAACCTAATCCTCAGCCCTGTGTGCAGTTATGTTACATTTATAAATGCATTGGTTTTATAAGATTTATTATTGAAAAATGTCCTCGATTCTTGAACCATTCTAAATTCTCTTGAACACTTCTTAACCTGTCCCCCCGCCCTTTATAAAGTCACTTTACTTCACTGTACTGCTGTCACCTTACATTGTGTGCACCTGTTGAGTGCACTTGTATATTGTAAATAGTAACTGTAACTCTATTTTAAATTTAAATTTATTCTTTAGAAGTGTTTTTTATTCTTATTTTTATTATCTCTTTCTGACTGTTGCACTGAGCCAAAGCAATTTCCAAGTCGGTGACCTCCTGTTACTTACGTGGCAAGAAAAATGATTCTGATTCTGATTTATCTTTATTACTATACAATAAATCAATATGGTATCTTTAAAAAAATCTAAACATCCCAAATGGTCAGCTAAACAGAACTGTTTTGACCTGGATTCAAACATTGTCAGATGCTCTCATTTTCAGGAAGACTGTTCCTGTTGGCTTCACGTCCAGATTTAGTCCTGACACGATACTGTTTCGGCCATTTAATTTAATTATTGAGCTTTTTTCTACTTAAGTTAGATTAGTGCTTCAGGTGGTTTTCGGCCATCTGCGTATATATAGTTTATTATTTATATATTTGATCGGAATAAGTTGTTGATCCAGGGTCTCTGGATTGGACGATCGGGGCTCACTTGGCTCTGCCTTCCATTGGCTCTAGGAGGGGAGAGAGAGCAGAGCAAAGCAGTCAACACCACCAGTAACAGCCACAGCTCAAACCAGAAATAAAGACGAACTTCACTCGTGCACGCAACAAAATACAAACTCAGACCATAGTCCGCCGGAGAAATGTCATCTCGGACATTCTGACGTCGCGATGCTGTCACTTTTGGACTAAATGAAAGACGCCAACAGTCTGGGGAAAAGGAAACAACAACAACAACAACACGGGGAAAGACTGGAATACACACAGCAGTAACAATAAAACAACACTCCCCGACAAGTGGACAGCCTGGCGTGGAGGGTCAATTCCCCACAGACACACGCGGAAACACCCCTGCCTTTATGTTGTTCTTGGAATTATTGAAGTGTGAGTGCTGTTGTCTTTTTGTGAGCGTTAAAGTTTAGAAACAATGAAGCCATAGCAAGAATCGCTCATCAAGTGTCTCGGGGCTGCTAGCCTTTCTATTAGCATTAGCTTTCTCCAGTAGCAGTGAATGCGGGGAGTTGCTAACGCCCGCTTGTGCTGTTAGCTTAGCTGCTAACGCTAGCCTGTGCTGTTAGCTTAGCTGCTAACGCCCGCTTGTGCTGTTAGCTTAGCTGCTAACGCTAGCCTGTGCTGTTAGCTTAGCTGCTAACGCTAGCCTGTGCTGTTAGCTTAGCTGCTAACGCTAGCCTGTGCTGTTAGCTTAGCTGCTAACGCTAGCCTGTGCTGTTAGCTTAGCTGCTAACGCTAGCCTGTGCTGTTAGCTTCGCGGCTAACGCTAGCCTGTGCTGTTAGCTTAGCTGCTAACGCTAGCCTGTGCTGTTAGCTTAGCTGCTAACGCTAGCCTGTGCTGTTAGCTTAGCTGCTAACGCTAGCCTGTGCTGTTAGCTTAGCTGCTAACGCTAGCCTGTGCTGTTAGCTTCGCGGCTAACGCTAGCTTGTTGGGTGAACACGCCTCTCACAAACTTTTTGTATTGTTTCCCCGCAGCCCAAACGCTGAAGGAGAGTTGTGGAAATAGGGGGGAAGGGCAGGTTCCCTTCTGGACTATTTCCCCTCTACTTATCGTCTTAAAATGATGGCAGCAGAGGTGAGCACTGAGGAGACGGGCTTAGTCAAGACAGGGACTGGTGGAGGAGGCCCGGAGACCACCCCTTATCCTTACTATCCTAAGCCCAGAGTGCGAGTGCCTGATTTGGGACAAGGACCTACACAGCCCTTCCGCCAGGACTCCAAACCGTCCCCGGACTCCCCGTCTGATATGAGCCATGCTTTCACCGTGTCTGGGGGTGACGTGAGTGGACCAACACTGTGTGCTTCGGGGAGCTTGAGTTATTCCCCCACCTCTGATGGTCCTGACAGCCGGGTGTCTCCCACATCGACCTGTCCTGATGGATCCAGTGTTTTCCCCCCTCTGCCGCCGCCTCCTCCCTCTGTGGGCTGCGGGGGGCTTGGGGGTACGCTGGATGAAGGCGATCTACCTGATGGACCAGAATGGGTGGATGATGATGAGGTGGTGTTTCCCCTGTCTGCGCCTCCCACTAATCAGTAAGTGCCAACAGTGGCCAGGCCTGGTGTATGTGCATTTATCCAGCTGTGTGTGCGGTCTATCAGCAATTACCTGAGCACTTCTCAGCTATCTCCTTGACTCAATCTCACTCTCAAATTAAAACGTTGACAAACAACAAAATAGGTTTTAGTTCATGGTTTCTACATTTAGTCATTACTACTACTTTAAGATTACGTTAACTCAAACTAAAAAGATATTTAAGTTAATATTTAAGTCACTATTCATTTGTAAAGTTCTGAAATTCATCACTGTTTCACTATAAGAAATACGTCTCTGATTTGAAGAGTGTCCTATATATAATTTGAGTGTAAATGAATCATTACGTGATGTATGTGGAGCCTTTACCCTAAAATAATGTAATCTAATGTTATTATATTCAGAGAAATATCACCACTTTCAAACCAGCTGATCTCAAAATAAATTTAATTGTAAGTTCAAACATCCAATTGTGTATTAGAGCCACTTTTTAGTTTCATTTTATTCTATTATATAATAGAATTAAATAAAAATACAATTCTACACTCCAGAAGCCATCTGAGGGGGCAGATTAAGATTACCTGAACCTTTCTTCTTTCTGGTTTTAATTAGTTTTTTCCAAATTGGTTGTTGTGATCATGGAATGTTTCCCGCAGTCACATATCAAGGAAAGATCAAGGAAAACTGTTTGTACAGTTTTGCCTTCTTTTGGCAGCATTCATTACCTATGCCAAGGTTGTTTTCGTTGTTGTTAGTTAGCTCACACCACAACGTAACGTTTTGAGGGCGCATTAATTACAACAAGGGGGACGAGGGAAACATGATTTTGGAGGTGGATCAGCATCAAGATCCAGAAGTACTTTAACAAATGTAACTGCACCTTTTGATGGAACTCGACACATGCTTTTCTAGTTTCAAACCTCACTTTCGCTTTTTCAAGTTAAACTAAACCAGAACTATGAATAAGATTTGTTTTACATGGCCTTGTATCTTTGAACATATCTAAAGTTAAGTTATTTGGTGGCACCTGCTGACACACCAAATAAAATGAACAATTAGGACATAAGTGTTCTCATATTTTGGTGATATTACCAGTTTTGTATTCTTGATTATGCAACAATTCATCCAATAATACATCTTTTGACTCATAAAATGTTAAGTTGTTAGCTAAAACCATGGTTAGTCATTCTCATATGACGATGACAATGAGGTTGATCATGATTATTTGTATTGAGGACATTATTTTCGCTACAATGAGGTTTGAATTCTCAGGGTAGATGTGTTTGATTCTGAGCATAAGTTGTTGAATGGGAGCTCAGGGAGGGACTGATCATTGTTTGATATCAATCTAAGCCCTGGGTTTTACAGTAGCTGGAGTAATCTCCAGTCATATTTGAAAAGATATTACAGAAAAAGTAAATTCCAATAATCTGGTACCCATGTTTCAATACCTCAATAAAAATTACCCATTTTGTTCATGCGTATAGTATAGATTGAGACATGTGAGCCATGGTTCTAGTTGCTTTCCCAGCTGACTGCCTGGAGTTACTGGGCTTCAGTGTGGGTCGCCTTCTGTGCCAGAATTTTCCTGTATCCCTCAGAGTTCTGTAACAGATGAAACGTGGAGCAGGAGGAAAATGTAGTTCCACTCTGCTGGACACATCCCGCAATCCCCATAGTCTGCTGTGAAAATAAGAGGGGCACAGTTGGAGCACAAACTAGTTTGATAATGTAGTTATCGTATAGCAAGCGCTTGTGTGTAGGAAACTGTGGCAATTCATTCCTTAACAAGACATTATTGTTTCTGCTTATTTACTTTGCAAACTGTTGAAGGGCTCACTGTGAGTCTTGTATCCTCTGTGTATGGTGTATTGATAAGGAAGCTCCATACATTGCAGTAGGTTCTGCCACATCCTGTCATGCCCCTCCAATAGCTACGCTCTGCTTGCGTTTTTCTCCTGCATCCTGTTTTCAAGACTTCTCAGCGGTCTGAATATGGACCAATATATGCTCTTATTCCATTCAATGCAATTTTTTGCGTTTTTGTTCTCTTATTTATTCTTTCTGCAATTGTCAAGTATAAAAGAATTGTACTGTAGCTGAATAGGGTTTACATTTTGAATTGTAAAGTATCTGTCATTCCCAGATTTTTGTTTTTAGGCCTGAAATTGTTTGTGATCACGGTTTTGCTGTTGTGAAGTAAGCAGATAACATGGAAAGGGCTGGGCTGCTTCTTATCTCTAAAGGTTCAGGTTCACCTTTGATACAGTCGAATGTTACGGGGATGTGGGCATTATGAAGATAAAGTGATCCAACTGCGTCATAGTTGTCAAGTTCCAGTGTTAAAGCCAATGTATGGTTTGGACTAGATAGAAGCTGTATTATTTATATATTATCCTCCTGATTAAGTTCAGGAAATATGGGAATCTTTTAAACCCGTAAACCCACACTATTTTCAGATCCATTCACACACTTATCAGGGCTTTCTGGCACAAACATGAAACTCGACCCCTTCTATCTAAAAGTTCTTGTCTCAAACCTGCACCATCATCAGAGCAGTTTCCTCACCTGTAATATAAAATCACTGCCCCAAGATTACTTATTACAATTTCTCAGGTGAAACGATTTTTTTTTTTTTTATTCAGCCTGTCATTTTCAAGTTTGATAAAGAAATACAAAACAAATTCAGTCCCCAGGTGCTAGCATAAGAAGCATATATATATTTTTTTCTATCTTTGATGCATCACATTGTAAAACATAAAATGGAAAAGTAAAAAAAAACACACATAAAAGTAAAATACGAGATCCATAATTGAATGCAATAAGCACACATTACTTGTTATGAATACAGCCACTCCCTGTGTGTGCTGTCCCGCTCATTACAAACCAATGGGCTGCTGGCTCGGGCTCGTGATGCGCTGCTTTATAAGAGCCGGAGGAGAGTAAGAGAAAGTCTGAGGACATAAGACTCCGCGCTACAGTTCCACCTGCTTCTCACTCCGATGGGATTAGTCAACTCAAGCACATATTATGGAGTCTACGTTTCTATATTTGGCCGCTCATTTCTCTGCGCGGTGTCAGACTAACATCACTGGAAGGTGAAGAGCAGCGTATCCCAGCAGCACCTAGCAGCATGGCGGCATATTTGGACATGGGGGATTTTGGGTCAGAACACTGGCAGCATCAAAGAAGGGGTCCGAGCGCGTGAGCAGACGGCACAGGGATGCAGCACAGGCCCAAGGCGGAGTAAGTTATTAAATTTTATTTATTTTATTTATACTTTATTAAGGACTCACATGCAAGCACAGGATCCATAGCTAAGAATAATTAAAGAAAAGTTTTAAAAATAACAGAACAGAGTTAAAACACACATAGTAATCACATATTCACATATTTAGACCAAGTCACACATACAGAGAAGCACGCCAGTGACTCCAGAGCAAAGAAGTGAACCTGACTGAGCTAATGTAAGGACAAACCAGTGACTGTACAATAGCATTAGGCACCCTCACCACTCTACACATGAACCGATAGTAGCAGTGACGTAGGGCAGCAGGAAAGGAGCGCACCCTGCACTCAGCAAACATCTGACTCGCACTACTGTGTCTGGGGATCTTCAACAGCATCCTCATCGAGTCATTATAGGCAACAGTTAACTTCTGCAAACTGGCCTGCTTATAGCTCCGCCATAGTTGGGCTGTGTATAAGGGAGCACAAAAAGATTGGAACAGGGAGGTTTTAACATTCACAGAGCACATGTTAAACTTTCTGACCAGCATGTTGGATTGGCCATACAGTTTACATCTCTGTCTGTGTATATCCCGGTCGTCTGTGAGGTCACTGCATATGTAATGGCCAAGGTACTTTACCTCCTCACTGACATTTAGAGCATTACCACATAGGGAGAATGCAGGAAATACAGATTTTATGTCATTTTTTGTCCTCACAATCATGATGAAGCTTTTACTAGAGTTATATTTTATATCATTTTGAAGACCGTACTCAGAGCATATCTTGAGGAGCTGCTGAAGTCCTGCACTGTACGGACTGAGCACAACCAGGTCATCGGCATACATGAGGTGGTTAATCACTCTGCCTCCCACAACACACCCAGTATTACAGTGATTGAGCTGTACAGATAAATCGTCCATATAGATGTTAAACAACAGGGGGGACATCACACTACCCTGCCGGACTCCATTACTGACCTTGAATGAGTCTGACACTGACCCACCCCACTTCACCCGCATACTCTGCTGTGAGTACCAAAATATGAGGACCCTAATAAGGTAGCCAGGAACACCTCTATTAGATAACTTCCTGAAAAGCCTCTGATGATTAATCCTATCGAATGCTTTGGATGCATCTAAGAAACAGGTGAAAATTGTGGAACCTTGACTGTGGTACTTGTCCAGAATTTCCTTAAGGGCAAAAATACACAGATCAGTACCATGCTCTTGTTTGAATCCAAACTGGTTTGCAGCTGTATAAAGGTATGGTTCAAGTCTGTACAGAATGATCCTCTCAAAAACCTTGGCCACACAACTGGCCAAGGCAATAGGCCGATAGTTGTCCTTACTGTTGAGTTTCCCAGCCTTGTCTTTGATTACTGGGACAAGTAAGACTGACATAAGTGACACAGGCAAAACCCCATGAACAAAAAAACTAGTAAAACATAGAGCAAGAAGTGGGTATAACTTTTTGCTTGCATATTTTAGGTGCTCAGATGAAACTGCATCTGGTCCACATGACTTGTTACTCTTCAATGTTAAAACAGCATTAAAAACCTCAAGTGGAGTTACGATCACACCATCATTATTATCAACAGCCCCTATAATAGCATTATTGTCTTTACCACAATTATACAATTCATAATAATATTTCATCCACAATTTACATATATTGTCCGAACCAGTCACTCCGTCAATATCACAGGGAAGAGAAGTCTTGCAACTGTTCATCATTCTAACTTCTTTCCAAAAGTCAAAGAAGTTGTTGTTTT